TCAACGGTTTTTGACCATGCTTTAGGACCCAGCTGGAGAAAATCAGATTAAGACCTAGCGAGAAGTGGTGGGCCTGCGGCCTGCCCGTGCGAGGTCAGCGCTTCGAAATTAGTGAGGCCGACACCGCCCAGGGCGAGGTCAGCCGGCGAGCTGTCGCTGGTGAGCTGGGAAATGCATGGACGCAAGGCCCCATGGTTACATGGATACTAGACGGCCTGCTTTGAAAAGGAACACCATCATCACCATCATCATCATCACCATCGTCATCATCACCATCATCATCATCACCATCGTCATCATCACCATCATCACCATCGTCATCATCATCATCACCATCATCATCATCATCACCATCATCATCATCATCACCATCATCATCATCACCATCACCATCGTCATCATCACCATCATCATCATCATCATCACCATCGTCATCATCACCATCATCACCATCATCATCATCACCATCATCACCATCGTCATCATCACCATCATCATCATCACCATCATCATCATCATCGCCATCATCGTCATCATCATCACCATTGTCATCATCATCATCATCATCATCATCATCATCATCATCATCATTACCATCATCATCATCACCATCATCATCATCATCACCACCATCACCATCAACATCATCATCATCACCATCACCATCATCATCATCACCATCGTCATCATCACCATCTTCATCATCATCATCATCATCTCCATCGTCATCATCATCATCATCATCATCACCATCATCACCATCATCACCATCATCATCATCACCATCATCACCATCGTCATCATCACCATCATCATCATCACCATCATCATCATCATCATCGCCATCATCGTCATCATCATCACCATTGTCATCATCATCATCATCATCATCATCATTACCATCATCATCATCACCATCATCATCATCACCACCATCACCATCAACATCATCATCATCACCATCACCATCATCATCATCACCATCGTCATCATCACCATCTTCATCATCATCATCATCATCATCATCTCCATCGTCATCATCATCATCATCATCATCACCATCATCATCATCATCCCCATCATCATCATTACCATCGTCATCATCATCATCATCATCTCCATCGTCATCATCACCATCATCATCATCACCATCGTCGTCATCATCATCATCACCATCATCACCATCGTCATCATCACCATCATCATCATCACCATCGTCATCATCACCATCATCACCATCGTCATCATCATCACCATCATCATCATCACCATCATCATCATCACCATCATCATCATCACCATCGTCATCATCACCATCATCATCATCACCATCATCACCATCATCACCATCGTCATCATCATCATCATCACCATCAACATCATCATCATCATCACCATCATCATCATCATCACCATCGTCATCATCACCATCATCATCATTACCATCGTCACCATCGTCATCCTCATCATCCTCATCATCATCAACATCGTCATCATCATCATCACCATCATCATCATCATCGCCATCATCATCATCACCATCGTCATCATCACCATCATCACCATCATCATCATCACCATCATCACCATCGTCATCATCATCATCATCACCATCATCATCATCCCCATCATCATCATTACCATCATCATCATCATCGCCATCATCATCACCATCATCACCATCGTCATCATCATCATCATCACCATCAACATCATCATCATCACCATCATCATCATCATCATCACCATCGTCATCATCACCATCATCATCATTACCATCGTCACCATCGTCATCATCATCATCCTCATCATCATCATCATCATCAAACATCATCATCACCACCACCACCATCATCATCATCATCACCATCGTCATCATTACCATCATCATTATCACCATCGTCATCATCACCATCATCATCATCACCATCGTCATCATCACCATCATCACCATCGTCATCATCATCATCATCACCATCATCATCATCACCATCATCATCATCACCATCGTCATCATCACCATCATCATCATTACCATCGTCACCATCGTCATCATCATCATCATCAAACATTATCATCACCACCACCATCATCATCATCATCACCATCGTCATCATCACCATCATCATCACCATCGTCATCACACCATCATCATCGTCATCATCATCGCCATGATCATCATCATCACCATCATCATCATCATCACCATCTTCATCATCATCTTCTTCTTCATCATCATCATTACCATCACCATCATCACCATCATCACCATCGTCATCATCATCATCATCATCATCATGATCATCATCATCACCATCATCATCATGATCATCATCATCACCATCATCATCATCATCACCATCATCATCAGTACATGGGGGAGAAGCTAACCAAAAAACACACAAAAATCAAAACACATATACAGTATACAAGTTAGGGTTGAATCGGATTGAACACTGTGATGATCTGATTTCATGATCAGCTATACCTCCAAGTGAACTTCCTGAAGAGGACCAAGACCAAGAGCTGCAAAAGAGGAGCATCCCGGGGTCAGTGACTAAGTTAGCTTATCTAAGTTGGCTTAACTAATAGGTTAACTGTAGGTTAACGAGGACTTCGGATTTATGATGTATCATGTATCTATAATAATTCAATGGATTTATAAACCAACGGGGAGGCCCACCTTATGGACGGCAGTTGATGTCAGATGTTGCCCGCGCCATGCAAAGTCTGTAGGCTACTTGCCCTCCCAGTCTTGGCAACTGCAGATGCGATTCAAATGTCGGCATCCTATACATGTTGATGGACGAACCACAAGACACTCAAGAGAAGGGGTCAAAAGATACCAAGCCAAATGCATAATCTATGGCGAAATTAACTGGCTCATCCATCAACTGGAGTAAAAAAAAGGCACTTATGATCCGAGATGGAATATGACTTCAAAAGAAGATGGGATCCGAGAAGTTGTCGGAAAATTAAACTTCGCAGATGTGATCAATATACTGCCGCAGGTTCACTTGAACTCCTTAGTTCCCCACAAAGTGCCATCTCCCAACATGGGCAACTGAGCATGGCACACATGGAATTTTCTGGGACCTAAAGGGGATCTGCACTGATCTCCACTCATCTGCACCATTACCACTTTCAAAGCATCAAAATCCCAGGGAGCGTCTCCATGAGGCAAGAACTTCCAGTAGATTCCCCTGTTCTTGTGGACCAACCCATCTGGTCAACGACACCGGTTGGTGGTTTCGCAGTTTCAACCCCCATGGAAAATATGAGCAATTAGGGATCATCGGCCCACCAAGGGAGATGTTGGATCCATCCCAGGTATCGGATAACCTACCTGGGAATCCTGGGACATCCAAGTTGCAATATGCAGCTTCAAAGCCTCTAAGGCAGCCCCGAAGAAAGCGATCTGCCATCCCTCCTGGGGAAATCAAGGGGGATCTTAGGAGTGTGGGTGACCGCTGCCTAATACTTGGGGGTGAATTATAAAGCTTATATCCCAGCTTATAGTGGATAAAATTATGTGATTCCCATTTTGGAAAGAAAACTCGTCTGGCACCCCCAGTATTCTCTCCTGGAAAATCCAATTTCTGCTTTAGATACGGGGGACTCCAAAAGTTGGATGCTTTCATGTTTTGCAGGAGAATAATTCCTCGCTCAATGACTCCCGATCGCGAAAATTCGCAAATAATCCCTGAAGATCGTAAATGGTCAAAACACCCGACACTTGTAGTATGGCATTTTTCACACAATCCAACCCAACATCACCCAACATTACCAAACATCTCCAACCCCCAGCCCTATTATATATTCGAAAATAAAATTTGAACCAGCGGATGAATTTTCACTGGACTCATGCTCGACCCCAAACCGATTGGATTAAAATCTGTACTTTCTACATCTTTCGTGTCTATGTATATAATATATATATATGTATCATATACATATTATGTATATATTATAAGCTATATATATACATTATGATGTATATACATATATATTATAATATATAATCACTACCCTTTTAAGGAGGGGGAACGTACTCAAATTGCAAGAGGACGTACTCAAATTGCAAGACACAATTTAGACGTTTTTTGAGGGGGGGTACCTGTCAAATGTTGGCAAACATTTATTTTTTTTGCAACGTCTTATTGCAAGATGTCATTTTAGTACGTCCCCTCACGTTTTACGGGATTGCATTTAAAACACAGGGGGGCGTCCAATATTGTCCATTGCATTTTTGAAAAATGTAAGAAAAGGAAAAAACATGCAAGAAAAATAGTGTGGATGTCTGCAAATAGCTGCAGAATTGCAGAAAATCATAAGTGCAATCTGGATCCATAGAGGTCCCCAATTGCCTGGTATTTCCAATACATTCTACACTTTTTCATCATTTCCACCTGTAATATAGAGGTATAGAAGGTATATTATTCCTTGCAAATTACTGGAAAATCCTTGAACTTCAATAAATGTAAAATTAGATGTTGGAGGTCTTCAAATTTGCCTCCTGCCTATGAGAAATCAATTGAGCACTGGTGTAAAAATCATGTAGCCATCCTATGCCTAAGGTTGATCAAACATACGAAAGATCCTGCCCTGGTGAAGTTGGTTATATAAATATAATTATGTATATTGTGAAGTATATCCTAAAGATTTAAGAGATTTTCCCAGTTCCATGGGTCCAGTTGAACATGGTTGGGTTTTCCAACTTCGATGATTTTCCCAAGGCCACTTGGAGGATCCCCCGCTTAAATCCAGTGATTCCGTTTGGGATAAGCCATCCATGGGACTTATGAAGCATGGTTACCATGGTTGTCATGGATGTTAACCACGGTGGTTAACCACGGTGGTTAACCATGGTGGTTAACCATGGTAGTTAGCCATGGTTATTAACAATGGTTATAAACAATGGTTATGAACCATGGTTATCAACAATTTTTAATTTATTAACCATTACTTTCTCCCTGGGATGATCCTCACGGTTCATCTCCTCAAGACGCCAAATTCACAGAGACGCCCAAATGCTTCATGACGACTGCGAGGTATCCTGGCACTTTATGGGGATATCATGGCATATAACGGGATAAAATGGGATGACATATGTATATTTATACGTATTGCTGTCTATGTATGGATATATGTACATATATATTTATTTACTAAGTATATATTAACTAAGAAGTAGTAGTATTAGTAGTAGTAGTAGTAGTACTAGTAGTAGTAGTAGTAGTAGGAGGAGGAGGAGGAGTAGGAGTAGGAGTAGGAGTAGTAGGTGTAGGAGTAAGAGTAGGGGTAGTAGTAGGAGTAGGAGTAGGAGTAGGGGTAGAAGTAGGAGTAGGAGTAGGAGTAGGGGTAGGAGTAGGAGTAGCAGTAGCAGTAGGAGTGGCAGTAGGAGTAGCAGTAAGAGTAGCAGTAGGAGTAGCACTAGGAGTAGCACTAGAAGTAGCAATAGTAGCAGTAGTAGCTGTGAAAGCAGTAGTAGCAGTAGCAGCAGTAGTAGCAGCAGTAGCAGCAGTAGCAGTAGTAGGAATAGCAGTAGTAGGAATAGCAGTAGTAATAGTAAAAGAAGTAGTAGTAGTAGCAGTAGTAGTAGTAGTGGTAGTGGTAGTGGTAGTGGTAGTGGTAGTCGTAGTGGTAGTAGTAGTAGTAGTAGTTGTTGTTGTTGTTGTAGTTGTAGTTGTAGTTGTAGTAGTAGTAGTAGTTGTAGTAGTAGTAGTAGTAGGAGCAGGAGCAGGAGCAGCAGCAGCAGCAGTAGTAGTAGCAGGAGTAGGAGGAGGAGGAGTAGTAGTAGTAGTGGTATTAGTATTAGTATTAGTATTGGTATTAGTATTAGTATTAGTAGTAGTAGTAGTAGTAGAAGTAGTAGTAGTAGTAGCAGTAGTAGCACTACTACTTACTACTACTACTACTACTCCAAACAAGGAAACACAAACACCAAAAACATCCGAACCTTCTCCCTACTGCTACAAGAGTTCAACCTCCTTTTCAGACACTCCGAACCGAACCGATTCCTACCAATTCGGAACGAACCGAACCGAATCCGTATAACTTATATATATATATTATATACATATGGTACATGTGTAACCAACAATTCGACATGGTTTTGAAACATGTCCAAGAATGACGATTTAACCGTAACATACAGCAACATGTTCATGCCAAAAAGCGCAAGTTGGCACCGTTTTGAGACAACCACGCCGCTTAAATATGTCTAAGTACAAAAGATCAAAAGATCAAAAGGTGATGATTGAACACCAATGCCTGTCACTTTTGTGTACTTGGAGGGTCTATGGTAGGTAGATCAAACAACAGAGTTTGGCTGCTAGTTGACTGATCTACCCTCAATGAAGCCTTTCCTGCAGATTAAGTCACATTGTTTCCGTCGTGCTTGCCAGCTAATTAGGCTTTGAGAGTCCCTATTAAATGTCGAGTCTATATACTCAAATCTGTCAATTGATGAACTGCCATGTTTGTGGGCAAATCTAACGTCCTGCCGCCTGAATCCTCAATTTCTTGGGCGAATCCCAGATTCAATCCCAATTTTCGTAAGTGCTGCAAGGCAGAATCCCCAAGTCTTATCACACCCATGAGTGCCATGAAAAATGCCTTTATCAGTAAATATTCTTATTATGGGTTATAATAATCCTCAACACACCAGCTAGGTCCAGCTCATCTTAATCCATCAACAGAGGTATATTTATTGGCACAGTTGCGGCAACCACTTATTTTTTGGTCGTTAGTCACATTTCGCCCCCCGGCGCACCGCAGGCGGAGCGTGGAACGGTCGCACGTCCGCGAGCCTTTCACACAGGTGTGGCAGAAATCACAGGAGCGCTGCAAGGTCAAGACTGAAAAATGAAGCATCTTCAGGCTCATGAGGCCACAAAGGCGGGATCAAATAGCAGTGGATAAATTGAATGGAGACTTAAAGCACTGAAAATGGAATTGAAGCACTTCCATAAAAATGAGTTGCTTTTTGGCCCTCAAAAGGTGGCTTGAGCAACCAGGGACACGCTGAAAGGAATGGGACTGGGTCATCACTGCAAGGGTCAAACTAAAGAATTTGGTGAAAACCTGGGTACAAGTGGTGAGATGAACAATCACTCACAATCACAATCGATTCACCAACTATTTTGATATATTTTGATGTACTATCGGATACCATAGGATACCAGGGTTTTGCCAGAACTACCCTCTGGTAAACTAACATAGCTATGGAAAATCACCATTTTTAACGGGTAAATCCACTATTTCTATGGCCATTTTCAATAGCTATGTATGTTTACCAGAGGGTACCCAGAAAATCTATGGCCCCCTTTGGGGGCCACCGTCCCATCCCCCAAACGCGTCCCCGTTCCAACATGTTCCAAGCACCTTGTCCAGGACATCGCCGAAGGAGATGGTGGCCGAGGTTGGGGCAGATCCATCCTGGAAAATGGCCATAGAAATAGTGGATTTACCCATTAAAAATTGTGATTTTCCATAGCTTTTTGTATGTTTACCAGAGGGTATCACTTTGGGAGTTGGGTCACTCATTTTGAAGCCATCCTCTAGAATTTAGCAGAAAATGAAGGGCTGGGGACCCCGAAACAGCCATGAACCCGTTCCGAAATCATCGTGGCAATTCACCAGATGGGAAGTGTACATGGACCCCTTCAATTGTTGAAAACTATATAATTCGCTTCACGCGTGCCAGTGCTGACTTTACTTGAAAAAATATGGTCTCAAAAAAATGTAGTATATCCCAAAATCCCATTGAGAAATTGAGAAAATCGTGTTCTAATCCATGGGAATTGGGGGTCAGACACGCCCTTAACCAGCCAGAAGTGGAATAGCAGTGTCAAAACCCGGTTGGAAAATCCCCCAAATCATTGTTGCTTAAAGGGAATTCCCAGCTGGGTTGTAATAATCTCATGATATACAGGCAGTAACCCCCCCTCCAGTCAATCATCAACCAATTCTAATTAAGTCGCTATTTATTACATTATCATATCCCATAAAATAATAGTCATCATCAACTATCTGGGGGTCAATTATTTATTACATATCCCCAAATTGTCTTTTTTTTCACCACCACTTAAATGATAGTTAAATTGGGCCCATCAACCCCATAGCAATTGGATTTTCCACGGGATTTTGCCATCCGTTGATTCCCACCGCGCGGTCGTCCTGCGCCCAAACCACAAAGGTGACCTTCTGTTGTTCCAAATCGCTAATCACCTGGCGTGCCGAAAACACGCAGAAACGATTGGAACAACTGATGGGCTTGATTCTTCTCTTAATATAAAAGGGGTAAACCAATATGTTCGCCGATATTAGAAAAAATATCGTTGTAGATATTGGTTTATCTTCTTCATGTATTTTTTATGTGTCATCGGTGTATGTGTATAATTATTTATAATTCGCAGTGGGGATAACAACAAAACAATTGCGTCTTCTTGATCTTCTTGGGGGCATACTTCTGTGATCGTAGCCTTAATGGGGTGGTCGTACAATCCGAAGACGGTGAAGAATTGCTGTCTCAACAAGCAATAGTAGGAATTCAGCAGAAGTCAGCCTGCCCCGACACTCCACTGGGAATCATTGGTTAGAGATGTTTCGTCAAACCCTAGTCACTAGTCTTTGCACTTTCTGGTGGTTGAACCTCAAGTTCTGGGAAAACCATGGGGGAAAACCGGGAAAACCCCCAGTTTCGGTCCCCAATCCGACCTCGAGCCAGTCGCCGAGCTCCAAGCACTTCACCCGCTGGTGGCAGCGCTTCACGTCCTCGTGCACGCGCACACCTTGGACCAACACCCGGGAATAGTCCCAGCAGTAGTGACGCATTGGGAGAGCCCGATTTTCCTTTGAAACAATCCTTTGACAGTTTATGCATTTTCTTGGGGTGATGATGGAATCTATAACCCACCATATCACCCATATAGTATGAATTAATATGGTTTGGAGTAAAACAAAACATAACAAAACACACAAAGTGGGGATCCAATCGCAATATTTGGAACATCTCAGCTGGAAGATTGGAAACATAGCTTTGTTCAACAGAACTTGGTTCATGCAAGTTTCTTATCAACATAAGATTTATAAAATAGTTCAAAACACAAGCCAGATATGGCTCAAACTTGGGCTTCGATTAAACTTGGGGTATCAATGCACCTACAAAATTAGACAATGTTCCTACTAAATCATTAAAATCTTGAGGAATGGTAGCTTCTTGATTTACTTGTTGTTAATGTGTTCAGAAATGGGCCTATCTACTAGCTTGAAAACACATCTCTTATAGATGTGAATGGGACCTACCCCAATCAATCATTGCCATTTTGATAGGAAACTCATAATACACCACTGGATTTAGGGGTACTCTATGTTCAAACAAACCCAAATATCAAATATTGCAGGGTATGAATCTATAGAATTATACACTGTGTGGGAAGTGACTGCCTCCTATTTAGAACGGTTGAATGGTTGCACATTGAAGATGTATGACTATGAAACACAATAAACAGGGAAGGTCTCACAACGATTTACTCTCCGAATCACGATCCTGTGGTCACCCTTTCCATGTGAACCGCACAAAAAACCTGGCTTGTGTTTCAGAAATTCCAAACCATGGTAGCTCGTGTCGGATCAAAAGCCACATGGGTTTGTCGGCTCAAATAAGCCACCCATAGGTATCCCAAAATTTCATGGTTGCTCATCACCCCTGAAATTGCATTGTTGACACCAAGAGGCAAATGCGACCAGTGCGGTTGGCGAACACCGAGACGATCTTTTGAATGTTCTTGGTGCATGGAAGGTCGGAAGACAGGATGAATCCAACCTTGGTCAGTGGCATGACGAGGAGGCTGTGACCATATGATGAAATCCACCTGGGGCGAGAGCAAATGTGACTGGTTGGAAGGTTGGAACATGCCGAAACTGGCTGAGATGCAACACCCCACCTCTGAAAACTTTTTCATGTTTTGTCTGGCTATATACTTGTGCAAGCAACCCGTGTACTGGGAAAAGATCCAGAAACTATGACATCTCTAGAACCTGGGTGCATTTTTCTGAATAGATATTGCTCCACGATTCACCAGCTGAAAGTCACTTTTTTTTTTTTCGGTGGATTCAGTGGATTCAGTTGCCAGCATACAGGCATCATCAGGCATCCATTTAACCCCCCAAAAATAGCATATTCTCTTTGATGTTGTTCTATCTGAACCTTACCTACCCCTCCAAATAGCCTGGCAGGAAACAGGTACCCAGCTGCTGGGATATCACAGGAGATTACTGTACCTGAAACACTGGCGGAATATTTATATAACAAATAATTAATAACGTATACCGTATATCATATAATCCAAAACCCATATAATACCAGAATTCCCAGGGAATCCTAGGGGCCATATCATATACCGTATATATATATATCCTCCTTTTCCTGTTCCAATTCGCTTGGCAACACCATCCGCACTGCAGAGTTCGCCTTCAGTAAATTGCACCTTGAGCAAACGAGCCGAGCGGCCGAGCTGAAGATGACTTTTGGGAAGCGAATCGTGTTTTAAACACCACCATGATATGGAAATATCATATGCATATAATGTATATGATTATATATATTTATATATACTTATATACATATTATACATGTATGAAGTATATTAATATATGTACGTATATTTGCAATGGGATATGATGGGATATCACCGGATATAATAGGATGGGATATGATGGGATTTCATGGGATTTAATGATTTCATGGGGATAGAAGTCACCTCATACAGCCTCAGCCAGGTGTACTCACTGACGTGTAACTCCACAGAACTAGCCACAGAATGTTGTTGAGGAAAGCTCTATTTTTACGAAGTTTTTGCGGACGAAACCACCATCTTTGATGAAGTAAATCAGTATATAAATCCATGTGTCCTCGCCAGACCTTAATTGTTCATGTTGGCTAAACGGCTAAAGCCACACTTTTCATATTCTTTTCATGGTGAAAATCAGCACTTCTGCTAGGCATACCCGTCTAAAGTCAACATCCCCATCGGCAGACGTTTTGCAGGGACCTTTTCGGAATAGCTTGATTTCATCAGATTCTTTGCGCACACTGTAGTACAGTAAATCTCAATGTCGTCAGATATTTTGGGAGATTCGAACAGGAGAATACAATGGCACAATGTTGGCAACAGAGTGTACACATCCCTACAGCTGAATGTTGGACCAAATGACATGCCGCGCGTTTGACATGTGAGTTTGCACAGGAGAATACAATGTCACAACGCAACGAAGCGTACGCATCCATCCTTAGAGTAAAAAAGAACTACAACCGATTTACCAGGCCCTGCGCCTTCACCCCGCGCCAGGTTTGGCCCATCCAACCCCATCCGGGCAGCAAACAAACAGCAAACAGGGTCATACAGTGCACATGTGTTGGTTCTGACATGTTCTGAATAGTGGCATTTTTTGAAAGGTGTCGACAATGAATGCCAAGTCTATTGGCCTATTGGTATGTGAATCTTGAAATCAGACTTGCACATACCAACATCTTCCCAAATTAAATACATGGGGCACATGCAAAAAAAACCATCACTCCTAACTCGTAAAATCAAAGTCGTACAGGACACATCCAAAACACAGCGGGCACACGATTTCCGGACGACTAAAAAGACAAGCCCGGACGAGGCACAGCGTAGCGCACCACTCCACTGAAATGCACGCGGTTCTCGCAAACGATGCTGAGACGACCCTGGACGTTTCCAGTCACTGGGAAAAACATCATGGAAGTTTCATCAGCTAAAATGGTGCTTAACCAGCTCAAATGGTGGTCAAATGGTGACAAAATGATGGTTTAAACTTTAAACCACAAACATAGGGATTTGACCATCAAAAATTGGGATGTAACCAGAAAAGCATGGTGTTTTGACAGTTTTGACCATCAAAAATTGAGGTTTCATCAACAGAATTGTGATTTAACATGATTTAAGCAAGAAGGTGTGTAAGCATGAAAGAATAGATTTCAATCAGCAAACATGTGGATCTAATAATCAAGCAAAGGGATGAATCGACAAGGGTTTTGACCTATAGCCAATTTACAATCAAATCAACATATCATCAAACAGTGCTTTTAAAAATTGAGTCAACCATTGAAAATTGAGGTTCAACCAGCAAACCCATGGGAATTGACCAACACGTATGACATTTGCTTCGGATTGACGGATTGATTTAAGTCTAAATCTTGTGGAAATCGTTGTGTTTATCATCAGATACGGGAAGCCTCCGATGTTCATCATTTCTTGGAGTTTACCTCCTTCTCCGCAGCTTAAATCCGCATTCTTGCTGGTGAACATCTCAACCAATGATAACCTGGTAGTTTTGGTGGTTTGGATGGTTGGGGATACCCAAATACCCGAACATTGATGATCCTCTTCTCCTTTGACTTTCTGGAATCGCAAGCAACAAACACAAAGCACCAGATAACTTTGAATTAGTAATGCATGAGAAGAACATCAAACGCGGGTGTCTCAAAATTTGGAAGCTCCAAAATCCCATTGGAAAAACAGAACATGTCCCCAGCGCCTACCAACCAGAAGCAAGCGCCAACCATGGCCACTCTTAGATATATTGTACCCTGCATAAAAATATCTCTCTACATCACATCCCTTTGGCTGATTAATACTGCTATATATATATATGTATATATATATATGCCCACACATAGCATAGCAAAAACTGACATCCTCAAACATATATTATCATATATTGTCATATATATTATATACAACTATCCATCGTCAGTTGGTTACCCCTATGTTTTATGTCGTTTTTCACTTTATTTTCATGTACCTTGATGAAACTCCCAGGGTCCGCCCATGATGATTTTCGAACGGCGCCTTGTTGGAGCACTTGGTGAAGCTACGCGCGTCCGGCGACAGAACCTGGGAGTTTGTTCGGCGGTTCGGAATCCGGAAATGGCAATGGAAAGCGAACATTTGAGATGTAAACTAACAGTTATAGTTGGTTAATGGTAGTTGATGAATGGAAATCTATATAGTTTTATATCAATTTTCTGTCCCACTATAGTTTGATTAAAATTGACATAACGTGGTAAACCCAATGCCATAAACCATCCCGGAGTCATCACCATTTCTGAGGGTGCGGCGGTTGCCAAATGGTAGGCTTATGGCATTGTGTTTCCCACATTTATCATGTATGAGAATAAATCCAAATATTTTGACATTTGACATATTATATATATATATGAATATATATATGAATATATATATATGAATAAATATACGTATATATATATATGCTAATCTCAGCTAACGCATTCTGGAAAAACGGTCAGAACAGCGATCGTTCTGGGGGATCAGGATTGAGAAGCTGCCGCATCATGCGAAAATAAAGGGAAACTGCAGGTTTTAGGGTTTTTTTGATGTTTTTTTGTCAATAGTAAGTGTGAAATTAGCACGCAATTACTTTGGCCAATTTCATCGGAGTCTTGTTTCAACACACTGATCAATCTTTGCGTTACTTTGCATTGCAAAGGGGGTGTTTTCCCAAAAAAAAAATCCACCGGCAGGGTTTCTTGTCTTGGGGCATCCTCAATGGGTATTCCAATCGGCCCATCGTTCTCACGAAGTGTTTGTGTTCTCAGTCGGCCAACCGTTTTCATGAGAGGGACCGTTTCTGGCGGACGATAGCCTAGTTTTTTTTCCCGGACGTTTTTGATCAAAAGAAAGCGCTCAGAAGGATCCTGGTGGGAATGGGTGTGATTGCGTTTCAGAGGTGGGAAAACCAATTTTCCATTCTCAGCAGGCAATCGCTTTCAGTGACTAGCATCGTTCTCAAGGAAAGAAAATGAACGGTTTTGACAAGATTTTTTCAGCTGAGTTGGGGCAGGGGACGGGAATGTGTACTTTGGTGTGCAACGTGCACGCATTGTACTCAGCAGCACTGTGCTCTCTCACGAACACCGATCGTTCTCACGAACACCGCATCCATGGACTTGGGATTAGACTGATTTGGGTGCCTAAAGCGGTTCTCCAGATCAATCATTATGATTTCCGTTTTTCCTTCAGGAATTTGGTTCACATTCAGCAATTGACAGGATTACCTGAAATTTGACGGCAGCAGCTATGAGCTCCATAGGTTGAGATTCCTTTGGAAATGGTTTGCATTTTGCCCGTATGAAGGATGGTTAGTGTGATTTTTGGGCATTCTATATTTTCATTCAAACATATCCAAAGTTTAAACAGCCCTTCGGAATGGGCAGGGTTTCATTATTTATATTATATATATATGTAGGAAAGCGTTTGCAAATGGTACAGTAATTTAGCACGTCTGACATAATATATCAATTCAAGAGAAATATCTAAATTTTCGGTGTCCCCAAAACAGTGATGAGTCCAATGGACAACAGTACCCGGTACCTCCGATATGCATCCAGCAGATATTTTTTGAGCGGGCGTGCCACTCACCAACAATAAACAATGATGAACTCCCAGTCCCAGTTCAAAAGTTTGTCTGAAAATAGGCTACCACATTCCATCTAGTGGTTCATCATCTTTTTTCCCTCTTAAAGTGGCCATTTGTGGGGGGCCCATACTATCCCATACCTCATTTTTAGACTTTAAGAGGATAGTATGATGGAATCCATTGAGATATGGGATAGTATGCATACTATGGGCCTTGAACTATCCCATGAAATTCAGAGTTCAATGGATTCCCTGGTGCTTTTTGGCTCGCCACGCCCATGGAGCTGTTCTTTTGGTGGAAGCGATGCTGGTTTCCGAACACCGGACCTGCCGTAAAAACGATGGTGGGATCTCCAGGGATCGAACCAGGTGGTCGAAGGACGACTGGATGATGTGGGGAAACCGCATCACTATCATTTGAGGAAACCGCACTACATAGGGAGAATGAAAACCGCACCTTTTTTTTTGCTATTTTCTGAAGTTCATCAGGATATCAGGCCCTGGAGCCATAGCTAGAAACTTGCACCATCGAGTGCAAAAACCACCTCTCCTTCACACTCAACAAATCTCAGAGTTCTGAATTATGTGAAAGATTGTGAAAGATCTGAATCATATATATATATTATATATATATATATCATATAAATATGTATAAATATAATGTAATTTTATAATATAGATGATGTAGATGTAACTTGTCCAACAATCCAAGTCTTGAGCAATATGGTCCACCCAAGGGATGAAAGGCTTCGCTTCGACAAGGACAGAACCGTGGGATTTTTTCACGTGGGGATTGCGGTGGCTCTATGGTTCGTTGCATGAATCTCATACCAGAAAACTCGGGGAAAACCATCATTTCCCACCAGAGTGGATCGTAACTCCTCCAATTCAATGGGTCATCGCATAAGGCGAAGGAACGATATGGTTACATTATGGTTACAAGATAATCCTATCGGTAAAGGATGCTATATGGCTACCAGAACTATAACTATAGTTCTTGTATGTTCTTGTAACTTACAGTATAGGATTCTCTTATGATTACTATAGCACGTATGGTATAGGACAACCCATATAGTATTCCCATATCCTCTGGGTGATTCTAACCACTTCCCGGAGCGTCATGACGGTGCCTCGACCCAAGACCACCTGGAGACAGGGACAGACACGGGTGACACACATGCTTGTGTACGAATCGCCTATCGCATGCGTGTATACAATATCAACAATTGTACGGAAGTCATTCCTTGGACAAAACGATCATATCGAAAACAAAGATCAATGATCATGCAGCAATCAACATATGTAATTATATAATATTGATTATAAATCAACATAGCGCACCAAATGTGATCCTGCAAGCATTTCCTCCCCAAGCCAACGAAGTTCGCACAGAAGGATGACTGTAGATATCCCATTTGAACAAACAACATAGAAAGCTTTAGTACCCGCTCTACCGCATTAACTATCCGCAAAAGCAGCATTTTGCTACAATCCGCTAGTCAAAATACCCTCATGGCCTTCAGTACGTTGCAACCTGCTGGGTTCTTTCCACCAAGTATCTAAATTATAAATTTTGCATCTTCATTGTCAATATGCAACATGATACAAACCCTTGCTGTTCATTCCCAATAGTGTTGATTCATCCATCCATGTTTGCTGATTATATTCCACGTGTGTAGGTTCCCCTGCCGCCCCCGCCCATTTGGGTTGCAAAATATCCAATATCATGCTTCTTGCTGCTTCATCCACCTATTTGAGGATAAAGGCCCTCATGTTCCATTGAATGTTTGTTGATTTTGATCTTCGATAGTCTAGTGAGAAAATCCCTACAAATAAATTGGATGTAAATGGTGAATATACCCTTTCGAACTGTCGTTTTGACCCATTAAAGTGAGTTTGTTTATTTCTATTCTATGCTATTCTGCGGCAAAGCAATACTTTGTGCTGGAAAACACTGCGTCTGCAAGCGAGATCATTGACCTAGGATAGAAAAAGCGGTCAGACGTTGCAGCCGACAGTCAAGTCAAATCACGTCTTTTTTACGCATTCCCAGTGACCGGGACCCCAATTCTTGTTGATTCACTCCCCATATTTCATGCTTGAAAGTTAAGACAGTTAAGACCCATCTTTTTCGCTCGTTTCTATGCTCAAATCACATTGTTTGTTGCTAGATGATCCAAATTTGTTTTTGGTGCTTCTTCCGCCACTTTTGTTGGTCGTTTCTCCGATCTGGGCCTCGTCGTTCTTCTTCTTTTTCTCCTCAATCTTCAGCTCCTGCACCTCCGGCCTTGGAACAACAAAAATACCCAAAGTCTATATAAAGATCTTTATAGATCCCATATTAGATCCCATATAGTTTATCACGTTTATGGTAGATGTTGGTGTATAAATATGTTCATCAATCCCATTGGTTCATGCACTAAGTCACTACCTCTATATAGATATAGAATTCTATATACTTAGTACATGATAGTTTTGTGCTGAATCCACTTTTGATCAAACATGGGAGGCTGAAAAAATCCACTGCCTTAATGGCCATTTACATAAATAGGAAAATCATCAAACTAGCTGGTGAATTTTCCAGCAAACCATGTTTGATTTCTCGGTAGGAAGGTCGATTTTGGGGATCATCCAATCACTTGGGATTTGAAAAATTTGAAAACAGAATCCCATCCCGATCATATCAAAATCTCCAAAAATGATCCAAAAAACTCATGAATAATTGGAAATACATTGAGGATCATTGGGGATTCGAAAACGAGGGTATCAAAGTTTCATCTTGGGGGGTTTCGACAAGGGTAACTGCTACCCTTGAAGGGTTCTATAACAGACTGCGAATGATTGAAAGCCCTCAGGCATTCACTTCCCAGCAGAACGAACGTGAATACTCTGCAGTAAACTAACATATAAAACCATGGTCCATTTGGTTCGATGATTTACCTATTTGGTGATGTTCAATGACCAGAGGGTAGATAGACATGTAAAGGTTGCGAAAACCAAGGAATCCAAGGATGGCCATGGCAAAATCACTGGACAAATCTTTCATACCCCAATTTTGATCCCTGTTCTGGCCTCTTGTTGTCGATAAATTTCCACTTTGTTGCTTTCCGAAGGTTCCGATTGTTTTGGTTGCTTAAACCGTCATTTTGTTGGGGTTTGAAACCAACATTTGTGAAGGTTCATCATGTCTGCGCCCTACAGTGTTTCATTATGTTTCATTCCCCATCCTGTCTGGTTTATGGTCATTAAAACATAGAACATCAAAAATCACCATCAAAACAGGACTAGGGAAACCTTCCCTGGACCATCCCAATTTAGCAATTGCCTAGTGGCCCATGTATAACATATAGCTGGGGTTTCTCCTGGTCTGTCCCATATATATATAACCCACATAAGATATAAATTTGTCAAACAAGTGTCCAAGATTTGCTGGATAATCATCATTATCGCCCGTAAAATGTCCATTTTGGAGTAGCCATCATTTTCACAGAGACACCCACATCATCTCGTTGGTATTGATTGGTTACATATCCTATTCTATCTGTCGCATTTATATCCCATCATGATACTCCATGTTGGTTAAATTTTCCAGGTTGTTTCTTATATATATATATGTATATTTGTATATCGATGTAAAAAAGCAAGAACATATAACATTAGATTTACCAGAATACACAAGAGGGGAACAGCGCATACATACATATATACTGTATGCTATATACATATGTGTGTATGCCTATATACAAGTGATATATATATATATATGTATGTATCATCAAATAGTTTTATATAAAGTTGTATATTGTAAATGCTATGTATATATATAATATGTAAACTGTAAAATAAATATACGTATTCATATACATAGAATAACATCTGCCTGATGATATCCCATTTCTGGTGCCGATTTCCATCCAAGTTGCGCTGCCACAGGGACAGGCATGCATGGCACGGCTACCAGCACAGACACCTGCCCGCTGAGTTACTCATGCCATGGAACATGGGTGATCTACATCACCATGAAAATTCGGGGACGTCACTATTTTCCATTATTTTTCACATGATTGATGATAGGACAGCTGTGGTCTCTAGATTTGAGCAAAGGTCCAACTCCTTCCTCCTCCTCCTTCTCCTCCTCCTCCTCCTTGCCTCCTCCTCTGCCAGCACCGGACCCGAACACATGCCAAATAGGATGCCAGACACAGTGCCAGAAAGAATGTTATAAAAAATGTCAGATAGAATGCCAGAAAGACTGCCAGATAGAATGCCAGAACATATGACAGATGCCAGATAGAATGCCAGAACGTATGACAGATGCCAGTTAGAATGCCAGAAAGAATGTCAGAAAGAATGTCAGAAAGAATGCCAGAGAGAATGTCAGATGGAATGTCAGAACATATGACAGATTCCAGATAGAATGCCAGAACGTATGACAGATGCCAGTTAGAATGCCAGAAAGAATGTCAGAAAGAATGCTAGATAGAATGCCAGAGAGAATGTCAGATGGAATGTCAGAATAGATGCCAGAAAGAATGCCAGAATGAATGCTTGAAAAGATGCCAGATAGAATGCCAGACTATGCCAGATAGAATGCCAGATAGAATGCCAGAAAAAATGTCAGAATATATGCCAGAAAGTATGTCTGAACAGAGGCCAGATAGAATGGCAGAAACTATGTCAGAAACTTGGTCAAAACAATTTGCCAGGGTGGGGTCACTCGAAGTAAAGAAAATTAAACAGTTAGGTTTTGACTTGATGATTAGGAGAAGCCGAATACTGAATACGGCCAAACGATAAAACGACGGGGGGGAGGTTTAGCAATTGGGTGAAGGGATTATATATAGATTTAGATGGTGGGCTTTCCATATCCTGTATATATATATATATATATGTGGTAATTGACTAGGGGGTACTGTAAGCGACAAACTTGTGCATCTTCCAACCACATGAAAGTTTTGGGCAGCAAATTACTGAGGCTGAACGATTCGAGATGACAACAAACATTTGAAGCATGTTGAAACCCACCAATAAGAACATGTTGAAACTCACCAATAAGAAATTAGGAGTTCAGCAACACAATGGGGGATATAACCAACAATAATTAGATTGAAGGGATAAAATCGGGGCTTTCACCAACAAAAGGTGGATTTAACTAGTCAGATTTGGGATTCAAGCAACATAATTCTGCATCTAGCTAGCAGCTAACACAAATGGGGATTGGTTTAACCAAAAAAAGTGAACATGGTTTAGAATGGCTTAGAATGGTTTATATAATGGTTTAGAATGGTAGATGGGCCAAAAACTATATACCAAAATCCTTTGGGTTCGGCCTGGGACTTGGCATTGAGTGGCATGGACACCCCCCTTGCCCACAGGCTGCGAACAGCGGAGCCTGCTGCAACTGTTGCATCTGCTGCATTTGCTGCAGCTGCTGCATTTGAATGTTCTGCTGCAGTTGCAGCTGCTGTTGCTGCAGCTGCTGCTGTTGCCGGAGTTGTTCCTGCTGCAGCTGCTGTTGCCGGAGTTGTTCCTGTTGAAGCTGCTGCTGACGGAGTTGTTCCTGCTGCAGCTGCTGCTGACGGAGTTGTTCCTGCTGCAACTGCTGCTGACGGAGCTGTTCCTGCTGCAACTGCTGTTGCCGCAGCTGTTCCAACTGTTGTTGCTTCAGCAATTGTTCGATCTTTTCCTGGCGAAGCTGCTCTTGCTTTCGCAATTCTTCCAGGTACAAGCGCTCGCGGGCGATTTCCTGTTCCTTTTTCAGCCTTTCTTCTTCTGCGCGGCGCTCCTCTTGCAGCTTCTCAGCCTTCTCCAGCTGCACGTCCTTGTAGCTCTTGGGGATCACAAGGCTTTGCCTCAGCGAAACAGAAACCCCCGAGACCCCAGGTCGCAGCCGTTAACACTTTTATCATCTTTTAACAGGCTTGGGGTGGTGCCAGGGCGCTTCAGACAATGGCAACCCCGGCAGCCTCAAGGTGGTCAGGGGCTTATTCCCCCAGGCACATCGCCCGCTGGCATCTCTGAGAATTCATTCTGGCTCAAACACTAACCCTGCGGTGCCAGACTATAATGCATTTTGATGATGTTTACTACTCAGCAACTACCAAACATCCAATTGTGCCGACAATCACGGGGAAACAACCCCCTCCAGATTTGATCCTGTTGATTGCGAGGGGCCCTTTGACGGTCTAGAATCCTGAAGCAAAGAATGAAAGCCCGAAAAAAGGCACGCGAAACTTCCATACATACATCCCGGCGGCCAATGGAATCTATAGAAATTGTTCTAGACATGTTTGGAAATAATTGTTTTTTCTTGGTTCCGGCCTTGAAAATGATCCCGGACAATTCCGGATATCTATTTAGGCGGCGGCAATGCATTTTTGGGGAACCCTAAAGAATCCCAGAAATATCTAGTTTGAAGTGTGAATCAAACCAAACCCTGCAGTTTCCATCAGATTCCAGGGTCAACTGAGATTTCCCGGTCCCCAAGTGACTTCCAAAATAGTGCTGTTTAGCCACTCAGGCAACTCCTCTCACGGTGAAGATTGTCGGCACCATGGGATATTTATGAATGTCTTACCAGAACAAACAAACCAACAACATTCTCTAACATTAAATATAGCTTTTCATGGGAAAATCATCTATATATAAATGGGAAAACCATGGAAAAACATACCTTTGATACCCTTTGGTAATCAAACGTAGCTTGCTGAAAAATCTGCCACTTAGTTTCGATGATATTCCCCACTTACAGTGCCATTGTTTGATTTCCCAGCCATCCACAAACCAACTGCTTGAGGCCGATTTTTTCCCAATCAGAATGGGCCGTTTCAGTGTGTATCCCATTTTCAGACACACCCAGACCCAAGTTGAATATAGTTGGTAATGTGCTGTGTGTGTGTGTCACTGATAGTCCATTAACACCCCATTAACATACCATCTTCCATAGCTATGTTAAATTTCCGGAGGGCACTGAATCTCGAAAACTGTTCACATGCCATAGAGCTGGTCCAAAAAAAATCTGCCATAACTTCCCCACGCCCAGTGATTTTGATCCATGCGATAGAGTGAAAACACCCGGAGGGAGCGTTTGAGACGAACAGAAATATCCGTTTTGCACTATGGGGATGGGTCAAAACCTGTTATTACCATATTGGGGAATAAACATTCATTAGCCAGCTATTTTAGGGTATCTATGGCGCCAGGGTTTTGAGGCATAGCCATGTGGAAACATTGTGAATCATTGTAAGTAATCTACCACTGTGGCGGGATCTTCATCGTTTGCCCTAAGGGCAGATCTACCAGAATTGCTCGTAGGTGATGCCCGCATCCGCCGATAGTACCGCTGTGTTTGTAGATCAAAACCATGAGTACCAGTGATATTTAAAAAAACCTGAGCGACGCTATCATAGTTGGTCCGTTTCATCCCAACCTCACCAACGAAAATAAACAGCCTTTCAGAAGTTTGACATGTGCAACGAACATGTGGCTGGTTTTCTTCATTTCAATGCATCCTCTACAAGTCGAGTACTTGATCTCCCATATTTCACAGCTTCGCGACTGAGCCACCCATTCTGGAATCGCCGCATTCAAGGGACAGAAAGTCAACGATATTTCAGACCAAAAGCAAGTCGTCACCCCGGATCAATATGATTAATTAACCATCCCCTAGTTGATTTACAGACGACATCTGTGCCATTGCTAGGTTTTTCCCAACGCTTGTTTCACCTCCTGGATCCTTCTGGTCGATTTCCACCTAGGGCTCCGAACTCTTCCATTATTTTTCCGAGGGAAACCATGTGTTTTCCCTCATCTGGAAAGGTAAAACCCGTGGGTTTCTGCAATTTTCCTTGAAAAACGCCAAGTATGCTGTAAATTCATGTATAACACACATCCACGTATAGATCCATCTATGCCAGTGTAATGTTTGCTGTTTCAAATGATTACAATACGTATGATCATCACATTAAAAATGTCCAGTTCTCATGATTTTCACGATTTTCATGCTTGAAACCCAAATGTCTGGTTCAAACATCCCACTTTTCCCATGGTTTCAGACGTTTTCCCAATTTTTTCCACAGTTTCTCAAAAATCGTTGCGACGTCGACAGCAGCGAACTCCCCGCCGTTGCTGTGGCTCCTCCAGCAGATCCTCAAAGTCTTGGTCAGTGGCAGCGGTGCTCCAGGACCTCAAATGTTGATATGTTTGGATCAGACATGGGGAACAATCTGGGTAAATTGAAATATTTCACTAACCTCTTATAATAAGGCCATGATTTCGGATGACTTCCCGCTTCCCTTACTAAGCATCATTCCAATGAGGGAGAACAGCGAGGTCGCCATAATTTACCTAGAACAATGCTTTATAACAATCTGGTTTAAATAAAACCCAGTGGTTATATGAAAACAATAATGGGGATATCCGTTGTTCTCACATGTTTAGAACAATGGTATATAACAATCCGTTGGTTATAATCCGAACATAAGATCAAAACAACGCGAATATACCCAAGGGTTCCCCACGGTGTTTTATACATCCATATATTATATATGTATATATCCCCATGTTGATCATTCCATATTATAATGGTGATAGAACCAAGGGTTTACCAGTAGTGCCGCGCAAGGCTGTAGCGGAAGTTTCAAGCATAGGAAACTATAGGAGAGGTGCTTGTTGTGTTAATGGATGGCAGAACGAATCCACCGCTGGACCGAAAGGTAGTTGGAGCTGTTCTGGTTGGAGTCGTTGCAGCGGTCACGTCACCCACAACTGCTGGATGTAGTCTGATGAAGTGTAGTTGTAGTTGCAGTGGCAGTGCTCGCTGTAATTGTAGTTGTAGTGTAACTAGTCTAGTGTAGGGTAGTTGTAGTGTAATGTAATTAGTGTAGTGTAGTGCAGCGCAGTGCAGTGCAGTGTGTTGTTGTTGTTGCTGTTGCTGCTGCCTGTTGCTGCTGCTGCTGTTGTTGTTGTTGCTGCTGTTGTTGTTGTTGTTGTCATGTTCATTGTCGTAGTGGTAGTTGTAGCTGTAATGTAATTATTAGTGCAGTGTACTGTACTGTACTGCAGTGAAATTAGTGTAGTCAGTGTAGTGTAGTTGTAGGTGTAGTTGTAGCTCCAGGTGCAGTTGCGTAGTGTAATGTAATTAGTGTAGTGTAGTTTAGTGTAGTGTGGTGTATAGTGTAGTCTAATTGTAGTTGTGGTTCTAGTTGTACGTGTAGCGTAGTGTAGTGTAGTTTAATGTAGCGTGCTGTGCTGTAGTATAACTAGCAATAGTAATTAGTAATTAGTAATTAGTGCAGTGTAGTGTACTGTAGTGTAGTGTACTGTAGCTGTAGTCGTGGTTGTAGTTGTGGTGTAGTGCGGTGTAATGGTAGTTGTAGTTGTAGTGCAGTTATAGCTGTACTTGTTGTCGCGTCCTGAACGTCCAAAAGTGGTCCAAACATGTGGTGTCTTTAACATGTTTACTTCGAAATGGGCTTCGCGCCACAACGGCCTGCACTTTTTGAACATCTCAACTTCCAAAAGTGGTCCGAACCTGAGATCTCTCATCTCACCAGATGGCTTTGCACCCGCCGCTTTAGCGAGCCTATTGTACTTTTCGACCCTCCAGAGCCCCAAGACATTGGCACAAACACTGTATTTCGCGACTTTTCTACCTTTTTGCGCACCTGCATCTGCTTTCTCTTCTCTGATCTTCTTGCTTCTTCTCTTCTCTTCTCTGACTCTTCCCACCTCTGCTTTTTCATCTGTCCATATTGCCGGAAGTTTCACTTCTAAACTTCCTTCGATAATAATCAAAGGTTTCTTTAAAAAGTAAGTTGTGTTTAAGAAAAATAATAACCAATGGTTTGTAATAATAAACAATGGTTTAGAACAATTTGGTTAACATATAACCATTAGTTCTATGAAAACAAGAATGGGGATATCCATTGTTCTCATGTGTTTAGAAGAATGGTTTTTAATAATCCGTTGATTATAATCCGAACATGTGATCAAAACAACGGGAATATACCCAAGGGTTCCCCACGGTGTTTTATACATCCATATTATATATATATAGATTTAGATATCCCCATGTTGACCATTTAATATCATAATGGGGATCTCACGAATGATTTACAATAATCATATTCAAAGGTTTATTTGAAAAAGAATATTAACATCACCAACAACAACAGCAGCAACAACAACAAAACCAATAATATATGGTTTAGAATAGTACATGGATTATATATATATAGTATCATAATCAATGGCTTATAATAATGGGGAAGCCATTGATATTTTTTCACCATAAGAAATATTATAAACCATCTATAGGACCCCCATATTAGGGGATATAAGTCATGGTTAAAGTTATGGTGTTTATAATGGTCATCCATCCCACTTCATGGGAATGGATCAGAATGCAGATATAACCGAGCCATCAATATTGACAGTATAATGAGATTAATCTGCTACAATAAACATCAATATGGGATTACGGTAGTATGTAATGCTTTTAAATACTGATCCTGGATATAATGGGATATGAGCGTTTCCTGTAACTGTTCGGTTATGTGTCTATATGAATATACTACCTGGAAAGCCTGGTGCCCATTGTTTTGGGCACTTTCCAGAGTGCCCGGAATTTTGGTCATGGGAAAGTGTATATACCATTTTCGGAGTAGTATTTCTATGGGTATTTATGGCACTTTGCAAATATTTGCGGCACTTGTATGGTATTGTTTGCCACTTTTGCCGAAGATGTTGGACCAAAAGACGAAGTGCTTGGTTTGTGTGTAAGAATTGAAGAGTGACACAAAAATGGGCTGTTCGGCCAAAGTAGCCTGAAACAATAGGCAACTACGGAAGTATAATGTGACCATGGGTTTCACAACAAACAGGTATATAGGAGGGTTCTGTAAATGCTTTCTTCAACCAATTCGGGGACTAATAGATGTGAAAGGTGAATTGTACTTTATGAATACTTATGACATTTTGAAGGAAATATTAAATCAGAGGTGTGGTATGATGTTACTCTGATATCTCATATGGTCTTATCCCATGGCAAAATCCTCCAGAACTCCGAAATCGGCCCAGAAGCCACTTCTCAGTGGCCTTTGTGCTGAAGCTGGCCTTCCTGAGCTCAATGGAAGCATTGTTGGTCCACTTGGAAACTATGAAAGGTACCCTCTGGTAAACTAACATAGCTATTGGAAATGGCCATTTATAGTGGATTTACCAATTAAAAATGATGATTTTCCATAGTTACGTTAGTTTACCAGAGGGTAACCATGAAACACTGGGACTACAATGATACACTAGTGATATCTCAATGATGTTCCTCAAAGTTCCGAAAAAGATCTATGACATATATGAAAACATCCCAAACATGAACCGAATGGAACTATACTGGGATAAACATAATAAACTATCTACCAACTGGTGATTTCGAAACCATCCACAGCATCATTGGTCCCTGCAAAGTGAAATCACGAATCTCACTGGAGCTATCTCCAGATTTCCAACCATAGTTACAGGTATAGACCATTGTAGATCCAGTGTTTCGTATTGTTTGTGTAAATTTCTGTGACGGTGAAATACCAACATTCATGGCCAATATCCAATTGAGCTCACCATGGTCAGGTTCAATGTCGGGAATCACGACACTAACAACCAGTTTGGTGATGCAAAACAAATGTCAAGTCAGTTCCCATTTCAGGGGACATTTCCAAACCCCAGCCGCAGCTGTTGTAAAGCGTATTTCCCAATTTGGGTGTGATTGAAAATAGGAGGGTATCGCCTTACATCCCATTATTTACAATTTCAAAGCTCGTTTTTCCTATGAAAATTGATTGAGGGTAAATCCTCGCATGGGCAAACTTACAGATCAATCCTCAAAAACAATTTGAGATGGTGGAAAATCAGTGAACATGTGACCCTAAAATGGAGGTGTACCATATGTTTGGCCATATTTCGTTTGGATATTCCCTTACATAGACCTGAAATTTAGGTCGTACATAGCTGGTTGGTGGTTTTAACCATCTTGAAAAATATGAGTTCGTCAATGGGAAGGATGACATCCCATATATATATATACGCCCAGGACGCCTGGTTCGCCGTCGGCGGGAAAGCAAATTTTCTTCAGGTCAGCCAAGGTACTTTAGTCTCATTGTAACATTCGGCAGGGGTGATAACGTAGCATTTCCACCCTGAAAACATAGCGATAACGTAGCATTTCCACCCTGAAAACATAGCGATAACGTAGCATTTCCACCCTGAAAACATAGCGATAACGTAGCATTTCCAGCCTGAAAACATAGCGATAACGTAGCATTTCCACCCTGAAAACAAAACAATAACGTAGCATTTCCACCCTGAAAACATAGCGATAACGTAGCATTTCCACCCTGAAAACATAGCGATAACGTAGCATTTCCACCCTGAAAACATAGCGATAACGTAGCATTTCCACCCTTAAAACATAGCGATAACGTAGCATTTCCACCTTGAAAACATAGCGATAACGTAGCATTTCCAGCCTGAAAACATAGCTTTAACGTAGCATTTCCACCCTGAAAACATAACAATAACGTAGCATTTCCACCCTGGAAACATAGCGATAACGTAGCATTTCCACCCTGAAAACATAGCGATAACGTAGCATTTCCACCCTGAAAACATAACGCTAACGTAGAATATTTCCACCCTGAAAACATAGCGATAACGTAGCATTTCCACCCTGAAAACATAGCGATAACGTAGCATTTCCACCCTGAAAACATAGCGATAACGTAGCATTTCCACACTGAAAACATAGCGATAACGTAGCATTTCCACCCTGAAAACATAGCGATAACGTAGCATTTCCACCCTGAAAACATAACAATAACGTAGCATTTCCACCCTGAAAACATAGCGATAACGTAGCATTTCCACCCTGAAAACATAACAATAACGTAGCATTTCCACCCTGCAAACATAGCGATAACGTAGCATTTCCACCCTGAAAACATAACAATAACGTAGCATTTCCACCCTGAAAACATAGCGATAACGTAGCATTTCCACCCTGAAAACATAACGATAACGTAGAATATTTCCACCCTGAAAACATAACAATAACGTAGCATTTCCACCCTGAAAACATAGCGATAACGTAGCATTTCCACCCTGAAAACATAGCGATAACGTAGCATTTCCACCCTGAAAACATAGCGATAACGTAGCATTTCCACCCTGAAAACATAGCCATAACGTGGCATTTCCACCCTGAAAACATAGCGATAACGTAGCATTTCCACCCTGAAAACATAGCAATAACGTAGCATTTCCACCCTGAAAACATAACAATAACGTAGCATTTCCACCCTGAAAACATAGCGATAACGTAGCATTTCCACCCTGAAAACATAACAATAACGTAGCATTTCCACCCTGCAAACATAGCGATAACGTAGCATTTCCACCCTGAAAACATAGCGATAACGTAGCATTTCCACCCTGAAAACATAGCGATAACGTAGCATTTCCACCCTGAAAACATAACAATAACGTAGCGTTTCCACCCTGCAAACATAGCGATAACGTAGCATTTCCACCCTGAAAACATAACAATAACGTAGCATTTCCACCCTGAAAACATAGCGATAACGTAGCTTTCCACCCTAGCGATAACGTAGCATTTCCACCCTGAAAACATAGCGATAACGTCATATTTGCAGCCAAAAAAACGCGCGCGACAGGACGTTATCACACCCCCCCCCCCACCCAACCCCCCCCCAACACCCCCCCCACCCCACCCCCCCACCCCCCCCCGAAAACAAAATGGATGCATCTGAAGCGACGGCGAACCAGGCGTCCTGAGGGTATAGGGTATATATATATATGGAAAATAAAAGTTATGTTTGAAACCACCAACCAGATTCGTAACCAGATAGGCCTTATATGTTAATGGTAGGTACCCTCCAATCGCCAAGTCGAGCATCGTGGGCGCCTGGCGAACAGCAATGAACACTTCTCCGAACATCATGGGCGAATAGGAAAACCTACAATGCATACGTTACATAACACATCTATTAACAAATCAATATATGAGCAAGTAAATAATAAATAAGCAATAAATATATGTATATAGTTATATAATTATATATATATATGTTATATAATATACCTTCAATGAGAACATGTAGGGCAATTGATCAAGACATATCGAGAAGTAAGAGGATCTTCCAATGCCAGGTGCGATTACAAGAGGGCACCGACCATGCTTAGCTGCGTAAGCGGAGTCGGGCCCCAAGGAAAGAACAAGTGATTTTTTTAGCGATTGCAACACCCCTTTCTGACTCATATGGGGGTTTCCATAAATGGTGGTATCCTAAAATAGATGGTTTATTTCATGGCAAATCCTATTAGCATGGATGATTTGGGGGTACCCCACGGTACTGCCATTTCAGGAAACCTCCATATTCCGAGGAGATGATTTTCTCATATTTCCTCAACCATCTCAATGCTTTGTCGGACTTGTCCGCACTTTTGTGTTGATGATTTTAATGCAGATTGGATCAGAACTATAGTAAATGGAGCCAGCGCATCCTAAAATTGAATTTCCAGACTCAACACAAATGAGCTACTGCAAAACTTTGAAGCACCCAGTGTCCTTTCAAGAAGTACGAAAAATGGTGGTACAAAATTCTCTCTAAACTGCTTCTACGGGTCCCATCCAGTTTCAAGCCTTTTGAACCCTGACAGAAGAGGTTCCACTCTGCTCCAACCGCATTACAAAGGCCTCTAGCAGACTGTACTGGTATTATAATGATCCCCCGCCCGCCTCTGGCCAGTCAAAGCCGTCCTCGGATTCAAAGCCGTCCTCGGATTTGTTTGGCCGAACTCTCTCGTGGCAAGTGAAGCAGACACATGCTTTCGGTTCAGTTTCTTCCCACTGCTCCTAGTGGTTCCCCATGCTTCCCCATGGTTCCCCTGCAACAGAAGCACTGCCATGGATGGCTATGTAGGGCCCTCATCACCCAAGCTGCACCCAAAAACCTGAGGATAATGCATCTTCCTCCATCATGTCTGCCCATGACATACGCTCTGTTTTCTTCTCAGCCTCCAATTTGCAGAGCTGAACAAGGTAAGGTTGGTGTTTGACCACCCCCCACAACTGTAGTTTATACATGTTTATACTGTTATAGTCATCAAAAGAGGTACATTGTGGTTATAGCAATAGTAAACCATCCCCAAAATCACCATTTTTATGAGTGGGTTGTTGTTGCTTTACAAACATTAGGTCGATCCTCAGATTTGGGTGGCTATAAAAGTGTCTGCTTTCGGGTCAAGAGCGCTGTCTCTGCACCGTCCTTACGAATTGGGGGGTTCCATGGGGGATACCCAAAATGGGTCAAAATGGATGGTTTATAATGGAACATCCTATTAAAATGGATGATTTAGGGGTCAGAAAACCTCCAATTCTGTCCGGAGTGAGCTTCCGCAAAACGGAGCTCCCCAACACCAGCCCGAAAATTGCCTTCACTGCTTGTGGAACTTCCTTCACAGATACCTTCACTGCTTGTGGAACTTCCTTCACAGATTCCTCATGGGGCTTTTGGTTCCGGAATCTGAAAGAGTCAGAAAGTCAAGATGTGGAAGCCATGGACTTGCCACAATAGATTGGCATCAAATATCATCAAATAGTACTGCTCCAGTAGGTTCGATGTGGCTCAACTCTTCACTCAAATTGGAAAATCAATTGTTGAATATTCCGAGAAGCGTGTGTCATTGTCATTGGCGCATTTTTGGTCTCCACACCCAATTCAAGCAACTTGAGCAGTTTCCAGAACCGACTGGTTGAGAGCAGGATTTCCACTACATGCTGCATTCTCACTAGTCCCCTCAGAGGTGTACTGTACGGGTAAAAAGCTAGGGCCCCCATAGGCCCACAGATCGACTCGTCTCTTGCATTGTAAAGTACCCCGTTCCCCACCGAACCTTTGGCACCTTGGGCACTTCGGGTTGGGCAGCCTGCACCTATCGGGCCACCCAGGATGGGGTATCCATAACTATCCCAGGTGCTAGTCCCACCGCCCAAAAATTGGTTCTATTGTTTTGGTGCTGATATTCTAACATATACAATTATATACATACAATGTGCAATGACATACATGACCCCAAGTGTTTCTAAAATATGGAAGACATGATTTTACCTCGCAATTTCCAATGTTCCAACATTTCGATCTGTGCCGTCACTCATTCTCGAACAAAAATCCTGGTAAATCCCACAAGGCAGGTTCCAGGGTCAACCCAACGGTCACTGCTGGTGTGGGAAAATGCTTCTTCACTGCTTTTCCGTACAGAGATAAACTAAACATAACGAAACTCTATATATATATGGCAAATCTATGCAAATCTGCAATACTCTGCAAGCGACCAATTGTTTAGTTGGTTAATGAATGTTATAACAAAAAAACTGACAACCTATATATATATATTCAATCAACCAGTTTACACACCACAATGTGGGGATTATAATTGATTATAGTGATGCTTTTGGAAGAAACTTTCGCCCAAAAATCCACCAGATCTTGGAGTTATTACCCAACAAAATCTATCAAACGTGGGCTCTGCCTTGTAACCTTAGGGGAAAAACTTGAACTGTTCAAATTGATCTTAGGTCAAATAAATTTACTCAAAACTTGAGTATCACATCTATACTACCTATGTACTGCATAAGTATATATAATTATATATAATTATACACACACACTAGCTATACTACCCATCTGGCCCTCAGCTAGCTGCCAACTAGTATATACCCCCTATACTCCATGTACACACCCCCAGCCATCTCCACACCGCAGGCTACCATGATCATAAGTGGCTACCTAAAACTTGGATACCGCCATGGCTCAGCGAGTTTCCCACGGGGACGTTTCCCACCGTTTCATGAAACCAGAAGGTAGCCATCTACTGGTTGCACAAATACCATTATCCACTGACTAAAAGACGAAAAGACCATGGGAATCGCTGGGAAATTATTGTTGACTATATATATATATATCCATTCACACCCCATTTACCATATAATCAGTTTATACCATAGAATCAATTTAGAATCTATGATAGTTGATGTCACATGTCTGTATTGTGATGTATACCATTACCGTTACCATTACCCTTGCCATGATTAATGTTGACTACGTATCTTACTAATTACCATATATTACCATTACTATTATGTATTATAAATGTATATCCAAACATTGTACATCCCAATGCCACAAACCATCCCCAAAATCACCATAGATGGATGGTTTATTATTAGGTTTACCACATTAACAATACCGTGTTACGATTATTGTTGGTTGATTTACAACGATTCAAATTATCGGTATTCCCTCTGGCAATTGCCATTATAGTGAACCATGATCCAAGATGGTTGATATATATATATACACCATATATTATCATTATTAATTATTATTATTAGATATACATATATATATATATATGGGTTTGACTGAAAATTGTGTACACCCATGAAATAGAAAAATCCATTTGGGAAATACAATATTAAATAACCATCAAATTTGGTGATATCTATTTTCAGACAAACCCATATATCCATATATTGTCTATTGTACATCCCATGGCCATTACCATTGCCATATACTCGCAGATTATAATCCATGATGAATGATTTACCATGATTAATGTTGATCATACATCCCATGCTGGTTGATTTATACCACAGAAGCAATTTATAATCCATGATGGGGGATCTATGATTATATGACTGCGCGGGGAACTCGGCCTGCTATTTCTTGCCCGGCCGGCCGGCCAGTCTGTGTTGATTCCGGCCGGCCGGCCGGCTAGGCGTGTGTATGAGCTACGTCCGGCCGGCCGGCCGGCTGGACTCAGTTTAGGTTTTGGCCGGCCGGCCGGCCGCCTGGATACCTTTGCATTGGCAAAGTTTTTGGCTGGCCGGCCGGCCGGCTGCTTCATTGGCTGGCTGGCTGGCTGTCTGGCTGTGCCTTCAATTGGCTATATAAGGTCTTGGCCGGCCGGCCGGCCGGCTGACGGCTGGCTGTATCTCCAATTGGCTAAGGTTTTGGCCGGCCGGCCGGCCGGCTGGCTGCTTGGCTAGTTGGCTGGCTGGCACGCTGGCTCGGCTGGTGGGCCTAGCTACTTGTTTCCGGATATTAGTTAAAGTAAGCGCTTAATAGAATGTAAAGGAAATGTTAAAATTCTGTAAGCTGTAAGAAATCTCAAAAAAATATGCGATAGTATGATCGCATAAATGCTAGGACTGTTAGGTAGATAGCATATATGTTAGATAGAATGTTGAAAAATTGTAGGCAGAGTAGGTGATAAAACTGGAATATGTGTTAGAGGAAATATGTGTGTTAGATAGAATGTTAGATTGAAGGTCAGAATTTCTTTGGCAGCTAGACTGCAAAAACATTCTTCCCCAGACAGTGTCTACACTGAGGGGTTCTGACGGTAGATGCGTAGGTTGGTGCTTGATCAGGGTGGTCACTCTCTGCTGCGGCCTGTTACCTGTAAATTTTCGTATAAAGCGTCGCCTATAAAATCTTGACATGCGTTTCGACTGCGCAGGCTCGCGCAAAGTGTGTGTCCACGTTCTGGGCATTTTTCATGTAAATTTCCGTATGAAGTGGCTCTTGTGAAATCTTGACATGCGTTTCGATTTAGCAGGCTCGCACGAAGTGTGGTCCGCGGGTTTGGTCTTTGCTTTCATTCATGTCAGCTATTTCATTCATTGCAGTCATTTCATTCAAAACATTCATGCCATTCATTTCGTTCATTTCATTACTTTTATTCGCTTCATTCGTTTCATTCATTTCGTGCATTTCAGTCAATTCATTCATTTCCTTCATTTCATTCAATGCAGTCATGCAATTCGTTTCATTCGTTTCATTCCTTTCATTTGTTTTAATCATTTCATTCATTTCATTCATTCATTTCATTCATTTCATTCATTTCATGAATTTCATTCTTTTCGTTCATTTCAATGATTTCATTCATGTCATTCATGTCATTCATTTCATTCATGTCATTCGTTTCATTCGTTTCATTCATGTCATTCGCTTCATTCGTTTCTGTCATTTCATTCATTTCGTTCATGTCATTCATTTTTTCCATGTAATTTGTTTCATTCGTTTCATTCATTTCATTTGTTTCATTCGTTTCATTCATTTCATTAATTTCATGCATTTTTTCATTTCCTTCATTTCAATCATTTCATTCCTTTCATTCATTTCATTCATTTCATTCATGTCGTTCGTTTCATTGGTTTCATTCATTTCATTCGTTTCATTCATGTTTTTCGTTTCATTCGTTTCATTCATTTCATTCTTTTCATTCGTTTCAGTTATTTCATTCAGTTCGTTCATTTCATTCGTTTCATTCGTTTCAGGTATTTCATTCAGTTCGTTCATTTCATTCATGTCATGCGTTTTTTTCGTTTCATTCATTTCATTCGTTTCATTCCTTTCATTCATTTCATTCATTTCATTCATGTCGTTCGTTTCATTGGTTTCATTCATTTCATTCGTTTCATTCATGTTTTTCGTTTCATTCGTTTCATTCATTTCATTCTTTTCATTCGTTTCAGTTATTTCATTCAGTTCGTTCATTTCATTCGTTTCATTCGTTTCAGGTATTTCATTCAGTTCGTTCATTTCATTCATGTCATGCGTTTTTTTCGTTTCATTCATTTCATTCGTTTCATTCCTTTCATTCATTTCATTCATTTCATTCATGTCGTTCGTTTCATTGGTTTCATTCATTTCATTCGTTTCATTCATGTTTTTCGTTTCATTCGTTTCATTCATTTCATTCTTTTCATTCGTTTCAGTTATTTCATTCAGTTCGTTCATTTCATTTGTTTCATTCGTTTCAGGTATTTCATTCAGTTCGTTCATTTCATTCATGTCATGCGTTTTTTTCGTTTCATTCATTTCATTCGTTTCATCGGTTCCATGTATTTCATTCATTTCGTTCATCTCGTTCATTTCATTCATTTCATATATTTTTTGCGTTTCATTCGTTTCATTCATTTCATGCGTTTCTTTCCTTTCATTCATGTCGTTGATTTCGTTCAATTCATTCATTTCATTCGTTTCATTTGGTTCATTTGCTTCGTTCATTTCATGTCATGTCATCTCATTTCATTCCATTCCATTTTATTTGATTCGCTACATTCATTTGTACAGTTCATTAACTTCTTTCGTTTCAATTCGTTTCATTCATTTCATTCATTTCATTTCATTTCATTTCATTTCGTTTGATTTCATTCCATGTCAGCCATTTCAGTCATTTCGGTCATTTCAATCATTTCATTCATTTCGTTCATTTCATTCATGTCATTCATTTTGTTCATTTCATTCATTTTTATTGTTTTTATTCGCTTCATTCGTTTCATCCTTCATTTGAATTGTTTTTGTCGCTTCATTCATTTCATTTTATTCATTTTATTTGGTTCATTCGTTTCATTCATCTCACTCACTTCATGCGTTTCATGAATTTCATTCATTTCGTTCATTTCGTTCCATTCATTTCATTTGTTTCATTCGTTTCATTTATTTCATTCCATTCATTTCATTCATTTCATTGTTTTATTCATGTCATTCATTTGTCTCATTTCATTCGCTGCATTTATTTCATTTATTTCATTCATTTCATTGATATCCTTCATGTCATGCGTTTCATTCGTTTCATTCGTTTCATATCATTCATGTGTTTCATTCATTTCACTCATTTCAGTCATTTGATTTCTTTCATTCATTTCATCATTTCGTTCATTTCACTGCTTTCATGCGTTTCGTTCATTTCATCCACTTGGTTCATTTCATTTGTTTCATTCGCTTCATGCATTTCATTCATTTGATGCATGTCATTTGTTTCATTCGTTTCATTCCGTTCATTCATTTCACTCATTTCAGTCATGTCTTATCTTTCATTCATGTCATCATATCGTTCATTTCATTCGTTTCATTCATCTCATTCATTTGTTTCATTTCTACGGTTCATTCGTTTCATCCGTTTTATGCATTTCATTTATTTCATTCATGTCATTCGTTTCATTCGTTTCATTCCCTTCATTTGTTTCATTCATCTCTCTCATTTCAGTCATTTCAATCCTTCCACTAATTTCCTTCATTTTGATTATTTCATTCATTTCTTTCAATTTTATTTGTTTCGTTCGCTTCATTCGTTTCATTCATTTCATTTTTTCATTTGCTTCAGTCATTTCATTCGTTTCATTCATTTCATGCATTTCACTCCTTTCATTCATTTCAGTCTTTGCATTCATTTCAGTGATTTCATTCATTTCATTCATTTCAGGCCTTTAAATCATTTCATTCCTTTCATTCGCTTCAGTTTTTTCATTCCTTTCATTCATGTCAGCCATTTCAGTCATGTCATTTCTTTCATGTCGTTCATTTCATTTCTTTCATTTCATTGATTTCTTTCATGTCATTTGTTTCAGTCGTTTCATTCGTTTCATTCAGTTGTGACATTTCAGTTATTTCATTCATTTCAGTCATTTCATGTTGATGTAATTCAGTTTACTCATTTCAATCATTGAAATCATGTCATTCCTTTCGTTCATTTCATTCATTCCATTTATTTCTTTTGTTGCATGCGCGTCATTCGTTTCATTCATGTCATTCGCTTCATTCGTTTGGTTTGGTTCTTTTCATTTGTTTCATTCGTTTCATGCCTTTCATTCATGTCATTCATGTTCATTCCTTTCATTCGTTTCAGTCATTTCATTCCTTTCAATCATTTCATTCCTTTCGTTCATTTCATTCATTTCATTCCTTTGTTTCGTTTCATTCGTTAGATTCGTTTCATTCGTTTGATTCAATGAGCTTCTTTCATTCGTTTCATTCGCTTCATTCATTTCATTTGTTTCATTCATTGCATTCATGTCAATCGTTTCTTTCATTGCATTCATTCATGTCATTTGCCGGGCTTGGTTTTTGGCCCGCCGGCCGGCTGGCTGGCTGGCTAGCTGGCTGGCTGGCTAGCTGGCTGGCTGGCTAGCTGGCTGGCTGGCTGTCGCTAGGCTTCAGCTGGCGCCTTGGTGGCTAGCTGGTTCTTGGTTTGTGGCGTCCGGCTGGCCGGCCAGCTGGGGCTTGGTTTGTGGCGTCCGGCCGGCCGGCCAGCTGGTGCTTCGTTTTTGGCCGGCCGGCTGGCTGGCTGGGTGTGAAATAGCGGGCCGCGCTAAGCTCGCAATCGATTATATGGTATAGACTCCATGCTGGCTGATTTATATTCATTATTCATCACTCTTAACCACTATTAACCAGAGATTACCATTACCATGGTTCTGTAGCTATACATACCATGCAGCACCTTTGCCATTTTAAAAATAAAAACAAATCCATGTACAATCACTTTACAATCCATGATGATTGATGTATATATTGTTAACGTGGTTATATGGTAGTCATATACCATGTATAATCCATGACTGGTCCACTACTATTACCATTGTTATATAGTTTTGTGTATATATATCATATTTTACCATTACCATTATCATAGTAGTTGTATACCACATATTCCATGTATCATAGTTATACAACGTATAATAATTATATATATATTTATTTATTATTTATTTATTTAGCTCATCCCCCCTCCAGAACCTACCATTTTCTTGTTTTTCAATGGCATTTCTCATTGCAATGTCAACTTTCTGCAATTCACCATATAGTCGGATGGTTTACTACCGCGTTACCCACATTAGTGTTATTCACCATCAATTCTACCCTCTGGATCCCTCTGGTAATTTAACATATAGCATCATATAGCTATTCAAAAATATTGAAAATGGCCATAATTATCCATAATTTTATAGTTCACATTCCAAATAGCTATTCAAAAATATTGAACATATAGCCATAATTTTATATAGTTCACATTCCAATTGTAGCTATTGAAAATGGCCACAAAATGCTGCTTTTCCATAGTTTTTTTTGAATGTTTGCCTTGGATCGCCGCTTGGCCGCCGCCACGAAGCGCCCGCAGGGTCCCGCCAGGTCAATCAGCTCGGCCTGGGAACATCCATGGATCGATAAAACTACGGTTAAAACATAGAAAAACTATGGAAAAACATGGAAAAACTCTGGAAAAACATAGAAAACTATGGAAAAACATGGAAAAACTCTGGAAAAACATAGAAAACTATGGAAAAACATGGAAAAACTTTGGAAAAACATAGAACAACTCTGGAAAAACATGGAAAAACTCTGGAAAAAACATAGAAAACTATGGAAAAAACATAGAACAACTATGGAAAAACATAGAAAAACTATGGAAAAACATGGAAAAACTTTGGAAAAACATAGAAAACTATGGAAAAACATAGAAAAACTATGGAAAAACATAGAACAACTCTGGAAAAACATGGAAAAACTCTGGAAAAACATAGAAAACTATGGAAAAACATAGAAAACTATGGAAAACATAGAACAACTCTGGAAAAACATGGAAAAACTCTGGAAAAACTCTGGAAAAACATAGAACAACTATGGAAAAACTATGGAAAAACATGGAAAAACTCTGGAAAAACATAGTTTATGGAAAAACATAGAAAAACTATGGAAAAACATGGAAAACTCTGGAAACACATAGAAAAACTATGGAAAAAAATGGAAAAACTATGGAAAAACATGGAAAAACTCTGGAAAAACATAGTTTATGGAAAAACATAGAAAAACTATGGAAAAACATGGAAAAACTCTGCAAAAACATAGAACAACTATGGAAAAACATGGAAAAACTATGGAAAAACATGGAAAAACTCTGGAAAAACATACAAAAACTATGGAAAAACATGGAAAACTCTGGAAACACATAGAAAAACTATGGAAAAAAATGGAAAAACTATGGAAAAACATAGAACAACTATGGAAAAAGAAAAAATATGGAAAAAACTGTTGAAATCTATGGACAATCTATGGAAAAAACATGGAAAAAAAGAGGTAAAAACATGGTTTTCAAAAGTTTTCTATGGTAAATCTATGGCAGAACTAAGGAACAACTATGGAAAACCTATGAAAAAAACATGGGAAATCTATCAACATCTTAAGGTAAAACATGGTAAAACTATGGAAGATTTATGAAACATGTGTGGAAAATGGATGGAACATGTACAGTATGAAAATCTATGCAAATGCCATTATTCTAGTATTCCCGCTTATCCAACAAAACAGTTTGAAACTTGGGAATTTGACATGGTTTGCCTATGTTCGCGGATGAACACTGCCGGATGAATCAACAATGGAGGTCACGCACCAGAAAAGCGAGCGTGATGATGAAGTCAAAAATCAAACATATGATGCCAGCTGAGGAGATATCTCCCCATTTGGGGTTTCAAGCCAAACATGATTCAAAATATTCAAAAGTTTGCCGTTCCGGAGTTCCGGACAACCTGCGGTCCCTGTGTGTTGGTGAGCCATTTCGCTGTTGAGTTTCACACCTTCATGATCCATGCGGGAAAATAATTCCAGTTCCCTTTCACAAGCAGGCAACAAATTGAAGCCCAGGTCGTGCCCAAGGGCTGTTGCTTGCGCTTGCTCATGCCCTTTTGATCCAGTCCCTCCCTGGTGACACTCCAATAGCATGCTCTCCGTCGTATTAATTGGTCTACTGTCCACTTCGCGAGTTGAAAGGCGGCAGCCGCGCAAAATCAGCAGGAAACACACAAATGGGAAGAAGGGTACTGTCTACTTTCAGTTTGTGTTCCCGTCACATTAGCTGTCTGCCTTTGCAATTTTGCTGAGCTGAACGAGTCCTACAGTTTCCTGCTTGTTGCTAGAATCTCAAACGTCAAGTTGTGATCGAGAAGTTTTTGGATGATAAAACTGGATGCAATATGATAATATGATGCAAAGCACAGAATTTGGACTCTCCAGCTGTGAAAATCATTTTGTCACCTGGATGTCACCGGGATGTCCGGCAAGCCTACAGAAGCTATTTGCTTCGGCTGGAGTTACCATTCGTAGTACATTCGGGGTATCAGAATGAAATCCCAGGAGAAAATGTGTGAAGATTCTTGAAGATCAAATTCTGTTGGTTCTAACTTGGCATCAATCATTGAATGGTCAGTATCCGAGAAGTTGAGTTGAAGGATCTTTATCTTGATCATCCCAACTATGGACATCGAAAGTTTTGAACTCCAACAGAAGTGTTTCAAGGTTCAATCAGCCCATAGGGCGATGCCATCAAAAGAAACACGGGAAGATCACCAGACGACACGTGTGATCCTACCCTTTGGGGATGATTTTTACCACCTATATATTTATAGTAAGATTGGGGATGGTTTATGGCATGAATGGTTTACCACATGAATATACATGAATTATATCTAATCGTACTACTAATCATGTCCTAATCATTGATCATCTACTGTTATCTGATATTTTGGTACTTGGATATGTTGATATGGCGGTTTCTCAGAATGTACTTCCCCCCCCCGAAAAAAAGGTTTCAATACCAAATTCTTCTAATTGTGGATGATTTGGGGTACCCCCATTTCCATAAAAACCAAACATATCCCCGGAACATCAGCTCCCTGCGACCTCGACAGCAGGAAATGCGAAGTCAAAATCTTCGGCTGGCCTGCTCCAGGCTCTATGTCTTGTTGAAGAAAAGCCTTTTTTATGTGTATATAGTAGTATATAGTATGTGATATACTGTATATATATATATCATATCAATATATGATATGCATCTTCCTTTTCGTTGATCCAATTTTAAGAAGATACAGTTGAGTTTGTCCAAAAATGAAGTATCCATCGGTTTTTCCAACAATAAGGCGATCTAAACTACAGGATTTGGGGTGTTGCCGTAAATTTTCAGGCGAACCCAATTGTCTTCTGAGTTGAGCCATATGAGATAAGCCACCTGCAAGTGATGGCGCTTGCGCCCCCGATTCATGGAGTTATCCCAGTATCTTGAATGGGCTGAATGGGCTGAATGGGCTGTAAATCTGCTCACCACTGGAATGATCCTTGATGAATCTCCCATCTGATGGAGTCTATCCCCTTTCCGGACGTGGGGGCCATGCTGTAGACGGCCTTGAAAAAGCAACTCGCTCCGTGGAGCTTTCCACTGGTCCCATGACCATGACCCTTGCACCTCGGAAAGAGAGGATCGGGGGTTTCCATAAATGGGGATCCTCAAAGTGGTTGGTTTAGAATGTAAAACCCCATTAACATGGATGATTTGGGGGTACCCCTATTTCAGGAAACCTCCATATACCGCCCACCAAGACGTTGTGGACACAGCCTCTGGTGGAAGCGACTGGTGCAATGGGGAGTACAGTAGGTGTGAATGTGAATCTGGAGGGTCCAAAAATGTAAATCTAATCATATATATATATCATTTGGTTTTCAGGACATCTTACAGGAAACCATTGCTAACCAATCACCAAATGCAACAAAAAGAGTCATAGTTTCTATCATGGAGGTGTCCTCCACTTCCCTGGGAACTGAGCGGATCAGGTCGAAAAATGGTGTGATCACTCGCGGACACCGAAAAAGAGATGCTGGGATAGTCCACTGGATTTCCCAAATGCAGCAATTAGATGTAATTAGATGTGTATACTCAATATATCTTAATATATCTTAATATTACTAATGGGAACATCAAAAGAAATAAAAGAAAAACATCTAAACAAATCTAAGGAGATGCTGGATGTTCAAATATGTCAAGTGAGATATGATTCACCCCTGAAAGTCCAGCGTCTTTGCCTCAGCGGAGCAGCTAAGATCCAGCAATTTTTGCCGGCTCCAGGATGGTTTTTTCCCCCTGGTCGCAACCTACTAAAGTATACTAAAGTCGCAATGGGCTGGTTTCAATCCCACAGCGTCTTTTCTAGCTTTTGGTGGTTTCAAGTCAAAAACTATGAATGTCAGGATCATCATTCCAAAGATGGTTCTAGATCTGTCACGTGAAACCTGAAAAAATGTACCGAAGATCGTTTGACAATATTTGTTACATATTTGTCACTAGTGGTTTTCGTGAACATGGCCCCAATGTTTGGTTCCATCTTTCATTTCCACATTCTGAACTCAAACCTCTGGCGCAATTATATTGATGAAACACATGATGGTACAATGGGCATATAACGTCATATAACCAAGAAATATCCAGCTACCCTCCAGTAATTTAACATAGCTATGGAGAATTACCCATTTATCTATTCGATATGAATTACTTACAAAAGATAAAGTGACTTTGTAAAGAATTATTCGTCACCAAGGGGCATAATACCAGAATTTCTAAGGAATGAACCGTTCCTTCTACTGAGCCATCTTCTTGAAACCACTTGAAAGCAGTTTTCTAACCTACCATACCGTGGTCGGCCAAACTGAGCCATTCAAAAATTCCCCTATCCCATCTACTGAAATACTATGTTGTTTTTTTCTGGCTTTTCCCACGATGGGTCAGAATCCAAATAATTAACCTTGGTAGTATACCCTCTGGTAATTTAACATATATAGCTATTGAAAATGACAATTTAATTATAGTTGATTTACCCATTAAAAATGACTAAAAATGATGATTTTCCATAGTTATGCTAGTTTACCAGAGGGTAACTCCCAATTTCTTAACCAATCAACCAGGCGAGATTGAATGGCTCAACTCAGGTTCTGAGTTGATGCGGCCATCTTGACCGCTTCTTTGGCTCGCACCAGCGTTCTTGTGAAGGCCGCGACGTCCACTTTGCATTGGGAGAGTTGGTCGTGGACGTTACCTGAGCCATGAAGAAACACTGAAAAAATAGGAAAGTCAGAGAGGAAATATCGATAAACATCTGTTTCAAAGAAGCAGTTTTAGAGACTTTCTGTGGGATTTATGTGGTAATACATGGTGTTTAACAATTTATAAGCCCAAAAAGCACAAAGACAAAATCAAGCTATAACTGTAATCCATCCAGTTGCGAAGACGTTCTCTGCTCACATCCAAGTGACCTGCCGTTGGGGATCGTCGTTTTTTTCGCGGCCCAACGATGATCCAACCGCCGTTTTCAGTGATATGTGAAACCCCAAACGACTAAGAAATATGATGACATATGTATCTGGGTAAATTATAATAGTTCACCAACCTGAATTAAGGCCATTTGAGGATCATTTCCCTTACTAACCATGATTCCAGTGAGGTCGCAGTGAGGTCGTTATAATTCACCCAGATGTATGTATAGTTGCATAATGTACCCGGTACCTGAAGCCCATCGGACCTCAAAAAAAAATAGGCATACCAAGTGACACCATCATCTTGGTAGGATACATTAGGATTAGGATATACATAGTCTAGCTATGAAAATTACCGTTCCAATAGGTAAATCAACTATAAATGACCATTTTACGACCATTTTACATAGCTGCGTTTGTTTACCAGATCCCCCAGTTTGAGCATCTGAACTTCAAACACTCCCAGTCCCCACTTCTTGTACTGTTTTGTCATCTTTACTTCTTGTACTTCTGAATATCTCAACGGTCCCCCAAAGAATTCATTGCCAAATCTCCAAATGCAGTGTTCAAAACCCTCTGTTGTCCCTTTATACATCTTTATACTGCTTGGTTCACTTCATGGGTTAAATTGTGATCATCTCTGTATTGGTAGGTTCATAACCCCGCAATATCATCAACCAACAGTGCCAAAAGCATCCAATGCTCGTCCACTCGATTGCACCTTCCACCTCGTCTACGGAGGTCTCAAACTGCCTGACCTCTTTGTACAAGCGCAAAATGTCCTCGCCCGGGGTGCCCCGGGTGCCCCGGGCACACTAATGAAAATTCGCGAGTGCACAAACAATACACCAATGGAACTGAAAGTAGTCCAAATTACTTACCCCTCAAAAAAATGGATGCAGTTAGAAATTCAATATGACCTATTTTCATCCATTTTGTGATCCATTTTGTGCCCAAGTTTTCCATTTCATTCCCAGCTATCTGAATCCCATTAGCTCCCCCTTGAAATCACCGCGTCCTTTGCTTTTGCTTCACCTCGTAATCTGCGAATTCCGGATTGAAATTCCTCCACATTCATCTCCTCAGAGAATTGGAGAGTATCCAAGTCCGGTTCGGCGGAAATTTGGATGTCTGGTTTTAAAACATTGGAGGAAATGGCAAAACAAACACAACCATACTTATCATGAAAAATGGTAATGATCTCACCAAGCATTTCGCCAACTGAGTTCTGGTATGTATACAATGTATACGTATATATAATATATGTGTATATACACAAATATAGACATATGTGTATATATATATGTGCATGTATGTGTGTATATCTATATATATATCTTTTGATATGATGCAACTGCAACCGCTCAATTGACATCAGCTCACTGCTTCGGGTTTCATCCTTCGTCGCTGCCCCTTTGTTTTTGTTGGTCCATCAGCTCCGGGAGATGGTGGATCCATTTGGGCACTGCCCAAATAAAGATGTTTGTTGGTTTATAAAGCCAAGAATATAGATATAATGATATATCATGATATATCATGATATATCCCTTATATGAAATTGGAGTTCTAAAAGGCTATAAACCAACTTGAACACATGGAGGTTTCCAAAGTCATGGGGGTAGCCCCCAATCATCCAAGACTAAGCATTTTAGGATTGAAATCCATGGTTTCGGAGATCACCAAAATTTATGTCAACCTGTTCCTGTTTTTGGGCGGTTGATACGGCGCCCTGTGAAGGTGTGATGATTTTCATTGTCTTGGGGTGGGATGGGGCTGTGCTAACGTTCTTGATATGACATCTTACATTTTGGATGTCACATTGAAGGTCTTGGGTTGGGGTGGGGCTGTGTTAACGCTCTTGATAGGACGTCTTGCATACAGAAATCTTTACAAACAGATACACGTACAGAAATCTGTGGGGCAAACGCTGCTCTCGAACGATAGTTGCTGGCACGTAGAGTTGGATTCCACTTGGCGTCATTTAAAGAAATGCCGTCCTCAGAGTTTTCAACAAAAGTTGAACTCCAAAGTGAATCCAATGCGCTATTTAAATCTATTTAACAGCCTTCGGCATTCCGCCGGCCCTCTGTCCTTTGGCCTGCGGGCCCAAAGCAGTGGTTGTGTAAAGATGTGTAGCTGGTTGGTGTAAAAGGTTGTTTGCGTAAAAGGTGGTTTGGCTAAAAGTTGGTTTCTGTAAAAGCTTGTTTGTGTAAAAAAAACTGATTTGTGTAAAAGCTGGTTTGTAAAAGTTGGTTGGTGCAAAAGGTGATTTGTGGAAAAGCGAGGTTGTAAACTTTGAACTTTGGAGCTATGTCACCATTGAGCTATGTTTGGTTGGCTCTATCCACCCATTCTTACTGGTGATATGGTGGGTCTAAACCTACCACAGTTGGGGAAACTTCCACTTTTTTTCGCGGCTATGACGGCGATGTGAAGAATTGGCTCTGGATCAATCCACATTATGGCTATGAACATTGAACATCAAAAAAATATCAGTTACCCTCTGGGAATCAAACATGGCAACGGGAAATCCCCGTGGCCTAAATGGGCAGCGATAAATAACTGTTGCTGAGGGAAATGTTCAGCCAGCTAATTACCAGAAGATCCAGTAGCTCAGCCACAGGCCTACCCTCCGGTAAACCAACATAGCGGAAAATGGCCCAGTTATAGATGACTTTTCCATACTTTTCCCACATTTTACCTATAAAACATGGTGATTTCCTTGAACCGTAACCGTTGACCAGGCCGGGTTTCCATCCTTTCCATCCTTTCCATCCTTTCCATCCTTTCCATCCTTTCCATCCTTTCCATCCTTTGGCCTTTCTAGATTGTCCAAGAGTCTCCTTTGCCTTCGTCCAAAATATCCCACAATTCATCAATGTCTTTCGGCATAATGTCCAAGGCTCGCAACTTCTGTCGAATCTTTCCTAGACAAACAGGCTGGCAGTGGGATGCGGGTTAAACCCCAGGAACTTAAAATGAACGCATACTATGGTAGATTTAAAGGAATGGGACAGCGAAAAGGAAGGATCGGAAGAACTGCTACAAGCCCAGGGATTTGTGGTTAATTTCACAATAAATGGGTGGTCAAAACAATTCAAGCTTGGAGGTTTTATTGTCGGGTTTACCACATTAGTATCAGTAGTGACACAGTTCAAAGCCACTCAGCATCCAGCTGGAATGTCAGATCTAGACCGTTCATCCAAAACAGACAATAATTAGACACAAGCCAATGATCCCTGAAGGTAGTATGCCCTATATATACATCCATGGGTTTCACGTTTCAGAGATGGTGTGCACGTTTCAGAGATGGTGTGCACGTGTCAGAGATGTTGTGCACGTTTCCCAGCAGTTGTGCACGTTTCACAGAAGTTGTGCACGTGTCACAGAAGTTGTGCACGTTTCACAAGCCCCCTAATAACGTTCGTGTTCAACTGTACACACACTGAGCGCATTCTAATCAGCAAAAACATTGGGGCGACCAAACACGTTCTCCCGACATACATATATACATGTATACATATATATATATATAAGTATATATATACACATATACGTATATATGATTATATATATAATTATATATAATATACATACAACATAATATATATAAATATTATATAAATGTATCTGCGTATATAAGCCATTAATTTCATTAATTGGAAACTGATTTCATGGCGTTTCAAATGTTAAACTTGGCTTTGAAATGCCTTGAAAGCAAGGCGAAAGTGGTCCATCTTCCAAGCTTCGTTGCTTGGTGGCGTTGAAAAATTCCTCCCCGCCATCGGAGTTCCATAACCGACCGATGAGGAGTTGAACCCAAAAATTCGAAGTTGACCAATGGGGAATTAGGCAAGAAACAAAGGGAATCTAGGCAACAAACTCTGCAAATCCAATAGACATAGAAATCTACCAAATCAAAATTCATAGCGGAGCAATGCGAGAAATCGACCAAACCAGCCAAAGATAGGGAGATGATCTGGACTTGGTTCATGTTCAACCCCTAAGATTTCTTGTTTAGTTTTCATTCATTTTAGGTCACCCATATTTGATGTTCCCTGGGGATCCACTGGACGGAAACCTTGGTCCATTGCTAGCTGACAAAAGGGCGATTTTTGGTCATCAGACATGGCGATTGAAAATCGCGATTGAAAATCGCCTATAAATGGAGGTTTTCATTGGACCGGTAAAGGTACAGAAAGGGTAGGTACAGGGGGGGGGCCACCATATATATATAGATAGATATATAGATATATAGATATATAGATATATAGATACATAGCGGATTTTTGAGTGCCATGTTTGATTGCCAAAGGGTAATCATCATATTTACCACCTGGTGTCATTTTCTCGATACATTCGCCACCCTGTCCTGCTTGGTCAAAGCACCATTGCCATCTAGGTCAAGTTGCAGGAAAAACTGTTTCCTGCAGACAGTGATTGAACCGTCAGCTTTCGCCACCCAAAATCACCCAAAACTTCATCAATTTTCGGGGCTCCAAAGTTGAGGGGCATAATGACATTCACAAATGGATCACCTGCGTGTTCCAAAAACAAAACGACGTGTCGGGGCCTTGGTCATTTTTCGAAGCTATGCTTCGACATGAATGGGAAGATGAAACTCCACAACTGACAAATATAAACTGATGTGAAAAGTAGGCTAATGTCTGGTGAACTGATTCATTGCAATACATTCCCTTTGGAACATCTTGGAACCCTGATCCCAGAAATAGACATGCTGATTTCTCAGTTCCCCATGTACAGTGTCAATTTCCTATAAGTTGAGGGAATAAGATTTTAGATGTTTTTTCAAAATCCATAGCTGCGTTCACATGTCTCTATTTCCAAATAATCCCATCCCCCTGGCTCTAATATTAAACACCCCCTCAATGGTCCCAATTCTGTGAAGATTCCTTACTAAACCATGGTTTCTGGAGGTGTCTAATATTAGGAAGAAGGGATTATTGATGTTCCAACATGTTCCAATTATATCCCCTCTAGTTTTATGGATAGTCATGCGCCCATGCATCCTGGTTACACAATATCTTGGGAATCGGTGGCTTCACGGGTACGAATGGGATGCGCTGATAGCAAGCCCAAATAGCTAGAACAGTTGGAACCTGAAAATGATGGAGGAAACATCATCTATCATAACATACTGTAAACAGATGTTTTGTCTTTGTGCGGACGGCTATAGTAAAATGCATATCACCCATTTATGCCTTATTAAGTATAATTATATGTCATTGTACACTGATATATATATATATATAACTCATATATATATTTACATCTTATATATATATATATATCATGGCTGCCAAGTGTCAAATCTTCCAGTTCCTCCTCCTTTTCTCGTTCCAGTCGCACCGCCAGTTCCAAATCTTCCGACTTACTGTCAGAGAAGGCATTTTCGACGATCACCGCGGTCACCAGATTCAACATCACAAAGACGGCCACCGCGATGAAGAAAATGAAGAATCCTGGTTAAACATCCACAAAATGATGGTCATCTACTATGTTTATCTATGTTTCATGATGTCTCTAGCATGAAAACATCCGGGGGTCTAGTCATTTCGTTGCCGGAAGAATGGACCAGTAGAAGGGACATGTTTAGTATATTTCTAGTATTATGAAACCGTATGTTAATCTCAGCGGGGGTGATAGTTCTGACGCCGAATGGGGTGAACTTATTGTCCGATATGGTTGTAGCCATAAGAATGAAGAACTTACCATGTACTACCTCAGGTCATCTGAAGCTTCCTGAAAATGGACAATCCATTCTGATAACAGCCCATTCTTTTACAAATTAGTGAGATTCCAGCCATGATTGTCGACCCTCAAGACTGAAGAGTCATTAGGGTTGGGGATTTTCACGAATGGCATGGATAATGGAAACTAGATGAGATCTAAGACGCGTTTCATCGACACAATGGGAATATGTACGGAGGGACAACTGGGTAAACAACATAAAACAATGGCTACATGTGTATGCCCATATATATAATGTTAAATGGAAAATTATACATATATATATATGCATATATTATATATATACACATAGTGTCAGCAGTGTTTGTGTGTGTTTCTGGTACAAAAACACAAGTCAACCTGCTGGCTGAGGGGTCTACACTATTTTGGTTCATACCCAGCCATTTGTGGACACAGATCAGAATCACTGTCACAACTTCCTAAAAGGACGAAAACGTGTGGCACGAATCTGAAAAATGCTCTGACATGCATCGTGATTAGTGTGTCATTTCCAGGTAAAACATGTTCCATGTGTGTAAGGAAGCATGGATTGCAGAAACTGAAACTCCGTTATGATCGCTGGCCTACGCTTACATTAGCGATTTACTTACCATAGCGGTTTCCAATTCTGGACCCCAAAATCGGCCTGGAGAGATGGCCACGCAATTTCATCATGAACGGACCATTGACATAGAAAAAACCAGTACCCGAATCGAAGAAAATTGGCGCACCTTCTCTGTGAAAATGACCAAGCACGAAACATACGCAGCAGTTTTAGGTGAACTTAAATTCAGAATGTCACAATCGCCATGCCACGGGCCAGTAGAGATTTGCAGATCAGTGTATACACCCTCACAAAAAAATAAGAAATGCGATTTTTCTGTAAAAAATGATGTTCTTGGCCCAATAAGATCTTGGGTTTGTTTACCCAATATTTGTTGCACGACCTCGTTTATAGATGACTTGTCCATTTCAACCCCCATTATTTACCAAAAATCATGATGATTCAGAGGAAAGTATGTCAAAAATGGTGATGCCTTCCATTTCAACCCTCATGATGAGGACTTTTCCATGTCAAAATTCTCATCATCTTTTGGTAACCTTATTCTTCTTTTTTTGCCCAGGAGTCCGCCGGTCCAGACTTGAATGTCCATCAGCTGGCGCACAAAGCCAGAAGCCCAGGAGTCCAACGTCATCACTTGGAACAGGGACAACCTGAATGGCAGGGCGAATCTGGCACTACCAATGGCACGTGTTCTTTTTGCTCAGCAATAGATCACCCTTCATGGCAGATTTCGAAGTACGCGCAAGCGTACAAGGAGAAAGGATCAAGAAATTGGGATGTGACAAAAGTTGGGATGATTGGATGATCCATCCATGTTCAATCCATGGATTCTTCGCCAGGGCATGCCAGGCGGCTTTTGAACCATAGCCAAACCAGCAGCCACGGGTCAAAATGATGTCAAATGGTTCACTAGAATCACTAGAATTCGCTGGTTTTCTTATTCATCATGGTTGAACATGAAAAAGAACACATGTTGTGGGTATTCATCATGGTCTATGGCAATGGTTACCATGGTTAACACTTAAGGTTATTGGATGGTTTCGTACGCCACGTCATCGCCATCTTTCCACACCCAAAAATCCACCGAGCCACATGGAGCGCAGGACATCACCGAAGTACTCCTGATGGACCACTCAGCAAGGTCATTACCAAGTTTTGGAGTGAAGTTAACCCTCCGGTAATAACCCGGTAATACTAACATAGATGTGGAAAACTCTGGAAAACCCGTGGAAAACCCCCCAAGGGATACCCCATAGGTCAATAAACACTTGAGAAAGTGATGTTCAAGATCAATTTCGTTCCCATAGACCCTGCTATACCCACAAATTCACATAGACCCTGCCATGAGTTGGCTGTTGGAAGATGAGTTTCCACTAACCATTGGATATTTTCGTCTGGTAATTTGCGGTTATACCTTCCAGTAAACAATCAGATTGCCATGGTTTCTACCTCGCCTGCGCAAGCTCATCATCTTTGAAGGCGTCCGCCTTGCCGATTAACGAGGTGGCGATGATGGCGAAGAAGTAGAGCACACAGAAAATCATCACGTAGGTCCAGAACCTGGATACCAAACCCATGGTGACGACTGGGTATTCCATTTTGGAAAACCTCCATGTGTATATATATGTATATATATATGTTGTATTGGATTACTATACACATACCAATATACTATCTTATATACACTATGGATAATTTAGTGGAAAATATCATCTTATATAATATAATTTTGGATACCTTGCCAAAAATCTAGCAAAAACATCAAGAACTAAAGTATCTAATCAGTGTAGACCCAGTTATACGCATACATACATACATACATACATACATTACATTACATTACATTACATTACATTACATTACATTACATTACATTACATTACATTACATTACATTACATTACATACATACATACATGCCTACATACATGTGTGTATTATATTATATTTATATAAATATATATATATTCTATATTATTATTATATATACATATATATTTATTCTATATTATTATTCTTATTCTTATTATCATTGTATATATATATATATATTGACCCCCCATATGACAATACCCATAGGGAAAATGATGGATTTGCCAAGGCTCAGGGTTTCCCCGCTCTCTGTGAGGCCCTTCATCAGCGCCCACATCTCCTTGAACTCCGGGCGCAAACGCACCGCGCGCGCCAGGCGGATCAAACCTGGGTCCCAATGATGGAATTGGGATACATAATGTGTGTGTATAATGTATATATATATATACATATGGGATTATGATGGATTATGCATATCATCAGTATTGTTGCTATTATTACTATGGAAAGAACATATAATATAATGTATAAGATAATGTACATATATATATATACCTTGTAAAAATTAGTCTAATCGTAGTTGTACATATGTGTATATGTATGTTTGTATGGATCGTATCATCATGTATACAATTGGTGTATAGCACGGTCCAGGGAACCGAGCCTATCACTCCAAAAAGGACCAGACAGGTCGGAGGCTCAAACGGTGGGGATTACCACTGCCGGGCCAAGAAGGAATTCAATTAATTACTGACTTTGACAACGGTAATGCAGTCATTTTTAAATACTGAAAGGAGTTTCCACTCATTTTCTGGGCCAGTTCATGGATGATCATCCCCAATATATGCAGCCGAAGTTGTTCTAAAATGCTGTTTGAAGAACCACTTTCCATAGTCCATGTGCTGAACTGCGCTTGAGAGAAGAATGCTACATGGATCCACTTAGATGCCCCGAAAAGCCACAGTGGTGTCCCTGGGGAAGTTCAGAACTTGTAGATGTAACTGAAAAAAGGCCTGATTCGCATGGCAGATCATTGCGACCATGCGACCCATTTGCTTGTGAAAACATCTCGAAATTTGTAGGTTATATATATATGATACACAGTGTATAGATTTAATATGCATGGCAACTCATTTATTCATACCTTTTCTACCTTTTTGGGGGTTACTAGACTACAGTAACTACAGTAACCCTTCCTGCATCTTCCTGCGTGGTTAATGCCCATGCTCAGTGCCCTCCAGATCCCAAGGATTTTGCCCAAGCAACGCATGGTTCTCAGTGCTGTCAACTTCCGCAGGAATTCGACCTTCCACACCCGTTCGGCGGAAGGGCATAGATCAACAGTTCGAAGATGAAAAAAAATGATTATGAATGATGGAATTCTTGATCCTATCTGATATATTGAGTTAACTTCAGCACTTCATCAACTTAGTTAAACATCGACATAATGGAATAGTAATTAGTAGGCTATGTGTAGATATTAATAAATCAAATATGTGTGTTCTTTTGTGCTCCATATGGATGTATAATATATGTGGCTGGCTGGGAAATCCGGGAAATCCCCGGACGAAATGGAAGTTTATATTCTTCGCTCAAAAAAAATCATCGTTAAATAAACGGTGAGTTTTCCAGCACCGAATGTTTGATTATCGCAGAGTGTATATTATATATTATATATATATTATATATATATTGCCTGAAGCCTTGTCAAAGTTGTAAATACTTTACCCTCTGGAAAACCTGCAGTTTCAACAGAACCATCTACAAATGTGTTTTTGGTGGACGGGTTGGATTAATTTGGATGATCAATCATCGACAGTGACAAAAACCGCATAAAAGAGAGTACGTGGCTGATCCCCCCGGCATGAATATACATTTGGGGCTAATCCAACCACAACTCAAATGGAGGTTTCGGAAGTCATGGGGTCCTCGCAAATCATCCAAGTCATTAGACCATGTTTGTATTCCAACCAATGGTAACTTGGGAATCCCCGATGTTCAGAAACCGAACAAAGATGCCGGGCAACTGCCGTCCCGAGTGGCACCTCAATACCAAAAGGTCCCAAAATCCATGTAGTCAGCACCCCGAGGAAGACCAAGAAAACATCCAGCCAATTCCTGGAGTTGATATCTCTCCACGCTTGACCCAGGGGCGTTTTTGGACATACTGGATGGATGGGTGGGTGTCTATGTGTAATTGTTTAATCATACATATAATATCATTGAATTAATTAGAATAATATCTAAAAATGCGATATGATATATATTAATGATATTATATTATAAAATTTATAATTATAATATCTATATATATACATAGTAGATCATGATAGTATGATTCTAACATTTGACATTTGCCTTGAGGGGGGGATTTGCAGGGCCCCTTCTACTGGTAGTGTATTCAGCTCTGCCGAGGAAGGGTTCATCCTCGTACCTTTCACCCCAGATACAGGATATTACAGGATTAAACATGGTACCCTGATGTGACTGCAGCTCATACCATATGGCTTTACTATGGGTACGAGTCAATTGTGTTTCCCATTTTTGGGTAGTAATCCATTCATTTTGGAGGTCAAATTCTGACCTTTTTTTGAGGACTCCTCGGTGATCTTGGATTTCAGCCGCCTGGTTGTTGTACTGTGGGCATCTACATGCTGTAGGGAAGAAGAAACATTGGAATATATCTGTAAGCACCAATCGAATAACCTCGAATGACTATTTGGACGCAAAGCAGGATGGTTTCCACATAGATCATCAAATGGTTACAGTCACAGTATGTTACAGTAATCTGGGAGCCCCAAGTTTTGCAGTCCCCTTACAGTAGATGATCAGCAAACAACCCAAGCCCTCCAAGTTGTCACCAACTCATCAGTGCATCGAGAGTCTCGCGCTTCACCAAGTAAGTCCAACCCCAGCATAAAGTTGACATCGAAAGGTCCAAGACAAAGGCAAAGGTAAAGAAATTCTCAAAGATGGTGGACAACAATCCTGAAGCTAAACTTTGCTGGTTGGAAAGCCCCCCACCCAAAAAACTCGCTAAAAAGCATGACTGCGGATCGTTTTCCCAATTCTGGAGGGAACATCATGTTGAACATAAAGAATATTCGAAACTATCAAGCAGCTGGGGAAAAAAAAACACTCGTCCACAATGACCTGCAAATAGCGGCAGTACCATCTTTGAAAACAGAAGCCAGGTGCCGAATGTCATGTCAACGGTGGTTTCCACAGAAGCTCATTCAAGGGCCCGTTCAAGGGCCCATTCAAAGGGCGCTTTAAGCAGCAAAAAGTGTCCTAATATGGTGATAATTAAGGTCCACGTCTATCGAACATGATAAAATGGTGGATCGAAATCCTGGAACAGCACTGGCTACGAGAGGTTGATTTCCTGTGCATTTGAATGGTCACATCAAAAATTGGTTTCATTGTTAATTCATCACTGATCTAAATCCATCCCTTTTACAATTCCTTCCGAGTATTCCCGTTTATAGATTTTTAGTGGTCTGAATTCACTATTTCCTTTGCATTTATCCGCTTTTTATCCACTTTGAGTGACCCGCATCCATCCCGTGCATTCCCAGGCACTGTCTTGATCCGTGGTGTTTCTGGGTGTCTTTTCTGCCTGCCAACCCACCACAAAGGTGTTGCAGAAGATCACAAAGTTACCAATGATCTCGAAACAGTTGCCTGCAAGATGCTGAAGAGATCCAGGCTTACGAGGCGTCGTGGAACCGGCCAATCGAAGCCACTCGTGGTATGTTTGTATTGGGTAGAGATTCAAAATCAGCCGGCCGAAACATGTGACATGTGCAGTGTTCAACAGCCTAAACAGCCTATGTTCATTTGATCCTGGTGATCCTGGTTGGTTAAGAACGGGATTCCGAGTTCATGAATGATGATAATCCAAAAATATCCAAAATCAGTTGTATCGTTTTACCTCCGAACGAATCATCAGCCTGCAGGAGTGTCGTGGGCCCATGCACTACGTTTAAGGTCAAAATATGTCAAATTGGGATGGCACATGAATGGAATGCTTCAAGGGAAACAATACAGATACTCCTGGAATCTCCTGGATATTGTATTATATAAACATCAAATAGTGGAAAATCCACTATAAATGGAGGTTTATAGCTGGGAAAATCAACCATAAATGGTGGATTTCCATTGCCATGTTTGATTACTGGAGGTTAGATGGAGATTTGTCAATCCAACGTGACAGGGTCACTCTACATTCCCAAACCCTGCGGAACAAACAATGTGTACGTGCACACCTATGTGCACACATGTATGGTCATTGTCATCTTTCCCATATTGGGAATCCTTGTAAATGCATATAGATTGATGACGAACTTGCAGGAAGATAAACCATGGTTTGACTCGACTCTCGCATGCACTCAGAAGATCTCAGAGGTCCATAATGACACAGCCCCGGACACTGGTGGGGTCAGTGCATTTGAAACTATGGCTATGGTGATTGAATATCGTGAAGGTCAAGAGAAGACCAGGGCCAACAATCGGAGCGCCCCAACAATACGATAAGAACATGCATCATGCACATATATACTTGTAGTGTCGCAAGATTTAACCCAAAGGGAAGTGGGAATCAAAACAGAACAGGAAGGGTGAGGAATCGCAAGGCGCGACCAAATTTTCAGGTGCCAAAGTAGGCAACCTCCTTTTTTTTGGTTTGATCACCCCTAGCATTCCTCTTTTGCAGTCTCATGTAATTTGCGAAACGCTGCCTCGCACTATCTTCAGCCACATCATCAATTTGCAAGGAAGGTGGATTCAAAGGTTTTTGGATTTGCGTGCTCATGACGCTTTTAGGGTTGGCCAAATTTAAAAATCTTTTGAGCTCTAATAAGGTTGCAGCGTTTCTTTGTAAAATGGACCGTATGTTTAACCCTCGGGCATTAGTCTGATACCCCAATCTCCGCAGCGATGAGCAACCCGAGGTATCAAAAGTCGGCAAAATATCTTTGCCTGATATGTATTTGAGAGTTTGCAAAGCGTTGACAAAAATTCAACACATAACAGAAAAACCCATGGTTTGACCGTTTGACCATGGCACAATATCTCTGGCTGGGGCACCAAACCAACCCAACAGAGGATGACGATCTCACTAAGTGGAAAAAACTGTTGATTTTGCGGGTCCCCCGAGTCTATTTTTGCAGCTTTGTTGGGTGTGTTGGTCACATGAAAAACATCCCCATATGCTCCATGTATGGAATATTGACCTACATTTGGCCCCCAAATTTCTGGGGCAAATGTTGCAAATATTCCAGCACCATTCAGCAGATGGGATCCCAAGTTATCCAAGTTGCTGTTCACAATTGCACGTATCCTTGGATAAGGATGTTCCAAAGTCTGGTCCATTGCTCTCCTGGGCCAGAATCGGACGGGCTTCGGTCATTTTTTTCATCCCCGCGGCAAACCATTTGCAGGTACAAACCCACGCAAAATCAGGGGCTATTCAATTTTGACCCATACAAAATGCTCAAAATTCTGGTTTTGAATACTCCAATGACAAGGGGCTCATGTACCGTGTACCAGTGTGGTAAACCCTTAATAATAAACCACACAACGTTAACCCAATGATATGAAACAATGAAACTTTGGTGGGTAGCAAAGATCAAATACCAATAAACAGTGCAAGAGAAAATCTCCAATTTTTGTTCCCATTTGTCATGATTTCACAGTAATTTTAGGTGAAATCCGGATGTATCAAGGGTTATTTTTGTACAGTGGATACACAACCCAAATGTTACAGGGGTCTTCTCCCAACTTCTGGGGTTCATGGTGGCACCGAGTCTCTGTTCTTGCACCTTCCTGTTGAATGCAATCCTCGATCCAACAACGAAAACACATCAAGGGAAACCCAAATGTGGCAGGATAGGGGTAGCTATCCTTGGCTCATTAAGCCAACAACAACAACCCATTGAAATCTGGGGAAAAAGAGCCAACAATCTTCAAGTCAAAGCATTTTTCAGTGGTTGGGGATGGCCAAAAAAAATATCTGGTCGTTCCAGAAATGATGAGGGCACCGAAGGTCGACCTTCGCTAATTCCGAGGATGTGGCTACCCATATCTACCCATTTATAAAGAACATAGATTGATGTAGATTGGGGGTATATTGGGGGTAAATCCCCCATTTTCAGAAACACATCTGAAGCATTCCTAGAATCTGCGAACCGGCAACAAGTTGCAAGCTTGGGGACGGTCCAAGAAAATGTTCCCGTACCAATGCCCGGCCTTGCAATGCATCAATTCTTCATGTCATGTGGTATAACCAATAATGAACCATCCCCAAAATCACCATAAATGGGTGGTAGGGTGGTAAACCCCATCCCCAAATAGTAGGTTTACCTCATTGGGTGTCGAGCTCGAGAATCCATCGAGTGAAGTTCTCGTAGCGTTCGAGTAGATCCTGGAAGCATTTCACAAAGCCCTGCTTGCAAGCTTTGAAGAGGCCTGGGCCCAAATCCGGGTCGACGCACTGATCAGATCTGTAGACTGTAGAGGTCATATCACTGACAGCCAACTGGTTCATGTGTACCACACATCAAAATGATGAACCGGATAATGCCCCATTTGCTTAGAATATTTTGAAATATGTTGAAGATCCATAGCACCTAAATATGAAAACTAATTACTTTTCTATATAATTAGGGAATTTTGACATTATTTAGTTGCCGCATGAATGCCCCATTTGCTTAGAAAACTAAAATAATGTCAAAACACCCCATGCACCCATTGATGAATTCCCCATCACCCCGTTGAGGACTTCAGAAGCCAAGTTGTCTTTGCAAGAGCCGAGTGGTGCATCTGCCGATGGTCGCAGAATATGACAATACGGTACAACTATCAGCCATTCCGAATGAAGAGGCTATGAACCGGTTGCAGCGCAGCCAAACCAAGATGAGTCAGAGATTCCGCGGTGTGATGAGTGTTGAGATATTCTGTTTTCGGAACACGCACTGAATGTCACAGCATGACTCATGGTACCACAAGATGGTCTGCAGCTGCAGTGTTTGTCTTTTGATACTTTCACTCAGAACTGCCAATCTACGGATGAGTCATTCTCAATTCTTGACCTCTCCCTGTTCGCAACTTGCTCCAACTTGCGATAGATAACACTCGGTCATTGTCCAGACATGTCCAGACTATCCACCATTCCTTCCAGTTGCCTCTAAAGTCACCAGTGATGACATAATCCAAGACATTGAGGATTCTCGAAGAGAAGCCTCCCTCCTGGCGACATGCGTGATTTTTTTTTACCTGAGGACAATCAACGTGTCCCTCATAAGAAAATTGGGATGTAACTACCATATACGTGTTTGGAAGATGCTTTACAATCTTTACATATTAAACTAAAAGTCAAAATTAATCTACGCTGTTGGCGTGTTAGTCCCGTGATTCAAAAGACACGAGATCCAAGTCATAATATCCCAAATCCAAATCATAGCATGTCACAGCCCTTTAAAACTGGCCCATCATTTATACACCAGATCCAAATAGGTTGTCCAAAAATGGGATATTAGCCAGCCATGGAAAAATTGACAATCTGTTGAAACTGGGGGTAGCCCAATTTGCACCGAACAACTCAACCTGGCCCTGACATCAACCTCTCCGACCGACCCGTCCTCCAAATCACCAGTCGCCTTGGACTTTGATCTTGACTTCACAGCCAGCCGTTGATTGCCCGACTGCATGCCTCACCATGCCACAGCTGGCATAAAGCGGCCCTGAAGAGGGCCGGACGTGCCGCTCGGCCACGTGTCTCCAAGGTTCGAAAGCCACTGAGCCAAGGAGCTGCCACAGGATGTCTAGGTCCAAAATGGGTTGGTTATGTCTGGTTCCCCATACGGACCACTTTGATGGTCCAAGTGCTCCAAGTTGAGATGCTGCGATTCTAGCCTTGCAACTTCGTTATTGGACTACTTGGAGATACTTACGGAGGGTAGCAGGATCACTTTGGAACACACTCTGAAGCGTCACTTTGGAACACAACCATTTTAGCCTCACTTTGGAACACAAAATGATACACGTCATCAAAACAATGCCAACCACACAGACATGAGATTTACTGACAGGTGCACTACTTTGGAAGGGTGGGGCGTTCCAAAGCGAGGTCGGGACCAAGAAAAGGCCTCCTATGAAAATTATAGTCGTTAGAAAGCCAAGCCTCTTCAAGATGCGCACCCTCACTCGCTTGCGCACCCAGGAGCAAAATGTCACTCACTTGCGCACCCTGATCATCTCTCATTCATGTTCCAGTGGTGTGGGGTGGGGTGGGGTGGGGTAATAACGTTCATGTTCCTGTGCACACACAGGGACAGCAACCTCATCATCTTTCTTGCTGTATTGCAGACACGGGCACTGCTCTTTCATGATCAGTTACCGGTGGGGTGGGGTGGGGTGGGGTGGGGTGGGACAATAACGTGTGGTACACCCAAAACATAGGCCAACCGCTTTGTCCAAAGATGAGGTATATCCCAAATCCACCGCATAAATCATCTATATGTCCCATGAACAATGGCCAATACCCATACAGCTTTGTCTGAAAACAGGGTACATATAGGGTACCCCTAATCCATTGGTTGATCATCCTTTCAAAAAATTGCCATTTGAATTTGGGGGTCCATCCCCCATTTTCAGACACATCCATAATGTATATACTATTTTATATTGGCATATATAACCATCCAATATAACCCATACATGTAATGTATATAGAAATATACCATATTATAGATATATATGTGTGTGTTATATTATATATCTATATTATATAGCTTATTATGTGATATTATATATATATACATATACATTATATATATACACATTATTTATATATACATTACATAAACATATATACATTATATATATACATATTATATATATACATTATATGTATTTATATATACATTATATATACATTATATATACATTATGTATACATTATATATACATTATATATACATTATATATGCATTATATATACATTATATATATACACATTATATATATACATTATACATATATATACATACATTATATATATATTGTATAAATATAATATACTTAATTAATATACATTGATATACTCCATGATGCTGATGCCTCTATATTACTCACCAGGTGGCACGGCTGCTCCACTCAAACACCAGGGCACAGTCGAAACTGTGAAGCGATTGGATTTGTTAAAGAGTGACGCCGTGCGGCACAGCCAAAACGGTACTGCGGAAGCAAGAGATACAGCTGGCGGTGTCCCAAAATGGGCATTTAACCCCACTATATTGATCGAAGGAAGTTTAGAAGTCAAACTTCCGACAATATGGACAGATGAAAAGCAGAGATGGAAAGGGTCAGAGAGAAGAGAAGACTAGAAGAGAGAAGATCAGAGAAGAGAAAGAGTCAGAAGAAAGAAGATGCAGATGCGCGAAAAGGTAGGAAAGTCGCGAAACACTGCGTTTTTCCAATGATTTGTAGCTCCGGAGGGTCGAAAAGTAGGCTCGCTAAAGCGGCGGGTGCCGAGCCATCTGGCCAGATGAGAGATGAAAATGTGCACGCCGTTGTGGCGCGAAGCACATTTCGAAGTCAAAATGCACAAAACACATCAGCTTCGGACCACTTTTGGAAGTTGAGATGCGAAGCACATTTCGAAGTCAAAATGTACAAAGCACACCATGTTCGGACCACTTTTGAAAGTTGAGATGTCGAAAAAGTGCACGCTGTTGTGGCGGGAAGCACATTTCGAAGTCAAAATGTACAAAACACACCAGCTTCGAACCACTTTTAGAAGTTGCGATGTCGAAAAAGTGCACTCTGTTGTGGCGCGAAGCAATGCGAAGCACATTTCGAAGTCAAAAGTGCTAAAAACTGACGGGTACGGAGCACTTTTGGACGTTCAGATGTGCTTTCGCGTGGCAGGCGCAGGGGATTGTGCACCTTATCAAAAATGAGCAAAACGTGAGGGTTTAGTAGCATTTCCAAAAACGATGGCAGGCGCGGGAAATTTGAAGAGGATCTGCAAAGGTGCATTTCGCGTGGCAGGCGCAGTACAAAAGACATGTTCATCAGAGATGTTAGGAGGTCAGGGCGATGATTTCCTGAGAGGGGTTGCATTTTGGAGCATCAGATCTGTAGGTTTGCTAAGATGATTTTGCGTGACAGGTGCAGCACTTCGTATGACCTGGTATCAATTTTTCGTGGCAGGCGCAGTACTTTAGACAGGTGGAGTGAAAAAATCGCAAAACGCATTGGTACGAGGCCGTCAGCGCTGCACTCAACTTTCGATTTTTGAAGGAAGTCTCGCAGAATTGCTTTGTTTTTGATCTCGCAGAATTGCTTCGTTTTGGATGTTGTTAAGTTCAAAAAATAAAGAAGTCTGACAGAATTGCTGCGTTTTTGATGTTGTCAACTTCGAAAAATGAGGAAGTCACGCACAATAGCTTGGTTTTCAAGCTGGCAGATAGACAGGTAGATAGATAGATAGATGGATAGATAGACAGCTAGCTAGATAGATAGATAGATAGGTAGATAGATAGATAGATAGATGGATAGATGGATTGATGGATTGATGGATAGATGGAAAGATAGATAGATGGATAGGGTAGATAGATAGGTAGATAGATAGATAGATAGCTAGATAGCTAGATAGATAGATAGGTAGATAGTCAGAGAAAGAGATAGAGAAAGAGAGGAGACCTCAACCACCTGTCGGTTCATCAGTGGCTTCGCTCTGCCATCCGTGACTCACAACAACCAACCTCTCCTATAAGCTTCCTATTTTTGAAACTTCCGCCACCGCCTTGTGCGGTACTACTGGTATAATATGTGTCTGTTCTGTATATGAATACAAGACATATATAATATACAAGATATAATACACACACATATATATATATATAGTTATATACACATATGAAGATATGTATGTATGTGTGTATGTGTGTATGTATGTATGTCTGTCTGTCTGTATGCATGCATGCATGCATGTATTTGTATATCGCATTTTTTATGGGGAAAGGATTTCTCAACCATGGGTTTTTGGGGCGCTCCGTTTTTAGATAAACCGACCTGACTGTGAGCTCTGAAATAATGAGAGGAATGGCCGGACCGGCAGTCGCTGCATATCGAATAACTATAACTTGTATAATTTTGTTTGACCGTTCCAGCCAAATTTTGATAAAAAGAACAAGAAATGAGAATATTCGTGGATTTGACTGAAAGTGTGGGATACCTATGGATACCTCTCAACATCGTTACTAGGGACCATGGCAACCAGATTTAGAGCACCCAACACAGACGTTCACCCATGGGGATCGCAGGACCCAGCGACGCCAAGTCTGAATCCGCCAGGCAACTTATCAGTTTGCTATTGAAAATGGTGCTTTATAGTGGATTTACCCATTAAAAATGGTGATTTTCCATAGTTATGTAAACGTTTACCAGAGGGTAACTTAGGTGTCTTCCTTCCCAATTGCCACTGATCTCCATTTTCGCACTGCTGCAGAAACCATTACCTTGAATGGATTCAAAACCTTCGGGTCTGAACGCCTCTGCAACTATACAGGACCAGGAGCTTAGCCCATGAGTGCCCTCTGTGCCAGAGTATCCGCGTCCGTAACGGACATTCATTCAAAATTGGAAAGTCGCGGCCAGCAGAATTGGATGCACTTTGTCAAGAAAAATAAAATAAGACGGGGAGGAATGCCAGGTAAAATGCCAGATAGAATGATAGAATGTGAAAACATCTCAGTTAAAATGCCAGATAGAATGTCAGAATATATTATATATGTCAGATAAAAATCCAGATAGAGTGTAAGAATGTATGTCAGGAGATATGCCACGGCGGGGATCACACAAAGTAAAGTATTTTTCAAATAAGTCATTGAATGAAAATATGATTGACAAATGTGGAGGTTTCCTAAAATGGGGAATACACCTAAATCAACCATTTTATTGAGTTTTCCAGCATCTCCATGGCGCCAAAACTCAAAAAATATCCCGGGCCTTGATTCACTCAACTGGATGGTTTAATGATATGTTGAAATGATCTAAACTGGTCATAACTGGGCATAAGTACGTAAGTACCTGGGCTTTATTTGATGGGTCATTCTTGATATCTTATGTCGCCGTACAGCTACAGGAATTTTCACATCCAAGTCAACTAGGTAATTATTCGAAAGAAAAAAAGGACAGAACAGTAAAACCTCAAATTAGTAGTGATAAACTGTTTTCCCATATTTGGGGAGTTTACATTACTATAGATAATGGATGATAATGGATTTGGGATCACACAACCATAACAGCATCATTCGAGCTGGGCTGCGTGCAGAAGGCGCTTCGGGTGTGTCGACGTGACGGTCGGTTTTTTTTCGCGTCGGAGTCACGAGCACCGGTCATGTGTCAGTCGTGGCCGGGGGTTAGTACTCATTCAAAGTCAATACCCATCATTTGCGTTAGACCGATCAAGTACCTCTTATGGGAAAGAAAACAAAGTTGCTATTAGGATTCAGGATCTGAATTCTAGTAAGTTGTGCAGATAGAATGTCGAGATCAATCCATATATCACCCCTCAAAAAGGACTGTAGGGAACTCAACAAGATCGACAAGCAGCTACTGGCTCCTTTCTTGGATCTTGAAACCCATGTTCAGGGGTTGAAAACGTGCCATTGTCAGGGTATGAGTTGTTTCCACGGACTCC